TGATGAAGTTAGGTGCTGTTCTGAGTATTATTTGTGGCTATAGAGTTGCTTTTTGGTTGAACGCGTGGCTCCTGGGACTGCTGTGTATTCCTATCTTGCGGTCGTTAACAAAGTTGGTATAACTAGAGAAGCAAGCGGTGTCAACATTCATCTCTCGACCAGGTGTCTATAACTCATTGTTATGGTGTGTTTGACCCTAACTTAACTTTATGCCGGAATCTGAAGCTGGTGCATATGGTCCTGACTGACTGTCTATACATGCCATCTTCCAAACTGTTCAGGTGTGTGCAACTCCAGGAGCTTCCTAGACTCAGATGGGACCTGCATTTATGTTTTTTTGCCCCTTAGATTGGTTTTGCGACAAACCTAAAAGGGGAATCTTGCAGACCTAAGCAGGGATTACACCAACATCAGTGTATCTCATGGTTTGTCACTTTGTTGAAGTAAGATTTTATGTAGGTCTAAAAATTTGGATCAGCATATCAGGTCTCCTTTACACATGAATGTACCTCTTGTATGTGATGATAGTAAAATCTTCTCACAGACATCATGATGTCCCCATGCTGCTCTGGACCTTTGACTGCCCCCCCTTCCCTAACTCTACAGATGTGCCCTGCTGAGTATGTAACAAATTTACAGTCACTCTTCCTTCCTTGGCTTTGTTGTGTGCTGGTGTTTGGGGGATCTAACCTCTTAGCACTAATTATTAAGCTCCTCCTCTTTGTTTGTAAGATAAGAGGCTGACAGTTTTAGTTCCCTTCTTTGTAGCAAAACTGTCAGAAAAAGTCCCACAATATCAGAGACTAATCTCTCTTTTCAACATATCAAAGTGAAAAGTTTAGCTATCACTGTTTAGAAAAACGTAACATTGCAGATTACATTACACTCTGAGATCATCTCTAAGGGTTTGTCAGTCCTGCAGGATTCTCCTCATAGTACGCTGACAGTATTTTACCAATGCAGGCTATATTTAGGATCAATTTTTTAATTTAATGTGCTTAAAGGACTTTAAAATGTTTCAGCCGTCTCTTCATGAATTTTTTAAATGTGTCTACCAGTCTGATAATTGTCCATCTGTCTCTCTGTCTGTCTCAGGAACTTTTACTAGTTGATGGTTACCGAGCTGCGGAGCCAGCTGGATTCCTGCACTGGTCTACTCATCGCCTCGAGCCCTAAATCAGGCCTTACACACACACACACACACACACACACACACACACACACACACACACACACACACACACAGACAAATCTCACACACTTTACTCTGGCTGCCTGCAGTCCTAAATGAGCGCCATAAAGCAGAGAGGGGGTCGGCTCCAGCCCTCCCCGAGGGCCACTGTTGCCTCCTGATACGGATTGTTGCCTCACCCTGACTAAGAATGCCTTGTTCAAACGTTGTGCGTTTATGGCAGGTGATACCGAGGGGAAAGGTCAGTGGCCGGGTCACAGGCAAAGATTGTGTTGGTCAGTAGGAAGTAAAAAGGCTGGCGGGCGGGTAAATACAACGAGATGGATGTGGAGGTCTGTGGCTTGAATAAACCTCCTTGTGTTGGAAATGGAGTTTGGTCACAGCTTAGATACTAAAAAGTGTAAATTCTCCTCAGATTTATGAATCTTATGAAGATGGGATCGCAGTCAGTCAGTCACTGTTATTAACTATCACACAGTCTTTGACAAAAAGTCTGAAAAGAAGGTATAGAAATGTGGTTCACATACTGTGTTTATGTATTTAGATATAAACATGCATTTTAAGATAAGAGATTCCTTTATTAGTCCCACTGTGGGAAATTCCAAGTTTACGGCAACATATAAACAAGAAAAGAGAAATTAAAGGATGAAGAAACTTAGAGTTACAAAAGATATACACACGAGTGTTATTTACGGCTGTTATGTACATGTTTGATATGGTACAGTTGACAGTTTTAATGGTTTTTTAGTGTTGAACCAGTTTAGTTTGTTTCCATATATATCTAAGACATTCACTCCTGAAAATCTGGTCTTAATGTACACCAGTTTTGATTTGACTGTCCTGTTAAAAAATGTAATACCTGATAAAGACCCACTAACTACACATTTCTTAACAGTAAAAATGTAATAAATCAAACTAAAATTGTTGATCTTACTTAAATCTATCACAGTGACAAGAGTCTTTGTGTTCGTACCCACACTCCATGTGCGTATTGTGTTTGCAAATGGCGTGTTGTGTCACCTGTGTGGTGTGGACTGATGTCGGGTTGATGCTGAGTGAGATGTCATTCGTAACACAAGGCTTCTCTTTAGGTTTTCACGGCTTCAGACGTTTGCTTAGGGATGTGTAAACAGTCGAGGTGGTGTGTGTGTGTGTGTGTGATCAAGTGTGTGTCAAGGATCCCTCTGCCCTTTCCTTTCCCTCCAAGCCGCCCAGCTGTGTGGATCTAACAAGAACTTCTTTAACAATGGGGTGTTTTTAATTGTCCTCTGTGGACAGTGAAGGACGATTGGTACTTTTTACAGTTAACGCATACACATAAACAGACTTGAAGATTGTGATGATTGTGTGTCAAAATAAGGCTGTAAAATTACGTTTTTAAAAAAGTGTTTTAAAGTACTGGAAAACAAAAATTGGAATTACTTGGAAAAACTTTTTAATGAAGTTCAACAATGTTTCTGTAACCTCTTGATTTACTCATATGGGTCATTTAAAAACAAACCAATATATCAATTTTTATTTGAGAGTCTAAACGACAGAAAAAAAAAACATACTGACGGTTGAAACTGGAGTTCAAAAGTGGTGACTTACAAATCCATCTCATCTTAGTTGGACCAAGGCAAAGAAGAAAACTGTCCTATGGCCTGATGTATCAAACTTTACTTTTTTTTTTTTTTTGAAAACATGGACACCACTTCCACCACTTTAAATAGTAGAGGAACCATTTGGTTTGTTATCAGTGCTGTTATCAGCTCAAAAGCCATTATCTGTGATGGTATGGGGATGCATAAGTGCACATAACATGGGTAGCTTGCACATCTTGGAGGCACGTTTAATAATGAACAATACATACAGGTTTTGGGGCAACATTTGATGCCAGCTAGACAATACATTTTAAGGAAAACTTTTAAATTTCAGCAGAAAGGGCTACACATTTAAGAGTTTGGATTATTTCAATCAATAATGTAATTTAATTGGTGTGCAAACCAATTTTTTTTTTACTTTATTTTGCAACATTTCATACTATGTCCTCACTTTAGGGGGAATTGAGATAACAGGAACTTTATTGATTCCCAAAGGGAAGTTAAATGAGTTGAAGTGAGGTCGTAGTTAAAGTTATAAGCAGAGACAAAAAAGGGGATATCAGTTTAATCCACTCACTCATGCTTCAAGAGTCAGCGTCTTAGATGGGCCACTCTAGTTCAGAAAAGTCTGAACACATCTCTGCTCAACAGCACGATCATTGTTTCATTGTGTGTTTCACGGTGTCACTTCCATGCCTATGTGTGTGTGCCGGTGTGTTTGTGTTGTCTGGATGCCAGTCCCAGAGCACTGAAGCATTACACTCGGGTACACATTGACCAAATGCCCAGAAGCCAACGCCCTGGAGAACAGACTGGGCAGTGTATAAAAGCACGCAGGAAATGTGTGTGTGTGTAGGAGCTAGGGGAGAGGAAGTCAGACGGAGAGTTTGCACAGGTGTGTTATGAGTGTGTGTGTGTGTGTAGGAGTGCGTTTGAGGTCTTGTAGGAGAGTTTGCACTTTGAATCTCCACGTAATGCTCTTTCTCCCTCCATCTTTGAACATATCCTGAGCAGAGGATCAGTGTGTTGAATGTAAAGTTACAAAGAAGGGACTCTTTGTATGTTCCAGCAGCTGCAGCAGACTCTGAGTGCTCTGGTTACTGCAAGGCTGTCATGTTGAGCAAAAAAGAAAAGAATCAAGGTGAAGGTCAGTGAAAGGAAATACTCTCTTTACTCACAGCCACCAAGCCCTCTCAGTGTATTTATTATGCATCGGGAAAAAAAAGTCTTTTCACGCAAATAGATGCTCCTAAAAATGTTGACTCGAAATTAAAGGTGGGGTAGGCAGGATCTGAGGAAGTGCTCGTTTTGGGGAGAAATCTTTAATGTAAACTCTACCCCTCCCAACCAGTTTTCGCCTCAGCTCCTCCTCTCCCCTCCCTCTCTACTTCAGCAAGCCCCACCCACAAACAGACTGTCCTGCTCGCTTGTATCGTTCCAATTAAATTCAGAAAAAATTCAGATAAATACTTACGATAATTGGGGCCCAGTCAACGTGAAAGTAAAAAGTATTGGTGCTACTGTAGATGCCAGCAGACTACAAGCAAACACAATGTTTGTTGGACTTCTACAACTAGGATAAAGTGACATAGTCCAGAACCTGAGGTCAACAGTTTAGTGGCGCTACAACACACAGCAGGTCCCTTTTGACAAGAAACACTTCTGTTACAGACACTTGGCTTACTTTGTTAAAGCGGTTTACCTGTCCAGCAGAAAGGTTACAGGGTCTGTAAGTTGTTGACCCGCCTTTTTAGCTCTTGTCCGATCTACCTCCTTTTTAAACGCCCGTTATTCCGCCAGAGTCTCCGGTATTTACCTCGTTTTCTTGCCTGTGTTGGCAGTCATGGCCAAAGGAGGATTCAGACAATTTTCCGTACTTTTTGGTTGGTTTCTACTGTCCGATATTGTAGCACGCTAACTTTGTTTGGGCTTGTGAACGACACTGGGGAGCAGCGTCTGCCTCACAACCAATCAGGTTGGGGGAGGTGGAGAGCTTTGTTTACAGTCAGAAAGAGCGGGCCGCTTGAAATTTTTAAAATGTTGACTACACAGACATAACAAAACACAGCAATATTGTTATATTACCAAATGTCATTAATAATTTACAGCTATTGACTGATATTAAAGGTTTTTTTACACCACAAAAAAAGATGCTTCTTTAACAGATCCTGCCTACTCCACCTCTAAATCTTTGGTGATTTGATAGAGGACGGGGGTAACTAGGGTTCATTTGGGGTTTAAGTATAAAGGGACACTTGAACTGACCGAAGGGGACAATTACGTTCTCCACATTTGCTCTTGGGGTGATCTCAGAGCACACTGGCATATCAGAGAGCATGAACTAACAGAGCGGGTCTTTAGGGCAACCGGAGGGCATGTGGGCCCCTCGAGTGAGTGACCCTCTGGTGGGTCATTAGGGGGAAAATTGAACAAGGGGATGTCACATTGGGGCATCGACATGACCTGATTAAGTCAAATAAAAGGGTAGTGGGTGGTTGCTACAGCAGCTCCACTGTTAAATATCACCCTTCATATATTCTACTTCAGCTGTTTCCGGCTAACACTTATTTTCACAGACTTTTTTGAGAGCTGTGCGTTGCCATGGCGATATAATTCACTTGGCTCTTCCCCTCCTATGGGGGGGATTGTTGTCTTAGTGGTATAAATGGACAGGCTGGAGTGGATAGATAACACAAAACACAATGCAAGTCTGTAGGCCACACACACACTCACACTCACACCAACACACACACATACACATGCAGAGCTGAACATCTGGGTGGTCTTTCAAGAGCTACAAGGGTTAATGACAGCCCTGTTTGGAGGGATTGACTGCTAAGCCACAAACACACATCCATATAAACATGCACACTCACACACACTCTCACACACATACACACAACTCCCTGCCATCAGCGTCACACACTCAACAGAGAAGACGGACTGAATGGTAGACATGCAGAACAAGACTTTTCCAGAGATACTTTTGAAATGTGTGGGAGCAGCACGGATGTAAACTGAACGAAAGCAGCTTTAAATCACAAAGATAGTTTGCATGACAACTCTGCTCAGTTGAAAACAAATAATTAGGAGCTTCCCTTTGGCACTGTAGTTGGTAACAACTCGGGTTTTTCTTTTGAAATGGAGTCGATCAAAACTGAATAGAAACAATAAAAGGATTTTTATAAAGTAAAGATATTCAGTGTTTTAGCACTGCCCTTCTTTTTGGTTTTTGGAGTCACTATGAATCTTGGGACATCAGCTTTTCAAGTGTCTGACCATCTTTTAGATCTACAGCTAGCTTGCCAGTTGCCACTCCTTCTTCTTGGTCTCCTTTTTATTGCAGGTGCCAACTGCTCCCTACTATAAACCAATTACCTACACAGTGTTACTGTATGCTTACTTTTAGAACGTAACCACATATAATATATAAAAAAGAAATAGTAATCATCAGCTCCATCATGTTGAGATAATAACAGTTCTTCCAAACTTGAATATATGGTCTGAATCAACGTGAAGCCCAAAATTATGCACAAAATATAACTACATAGAAGTGCTCTGGACAGTGTCTTCAATGATGGGAGGGATGTCACAAGATGCATGTTGCAAAGGATGCTGATTGGATTTGTTGGATACACTTTTTAACATCTTTCAAATATAGTTATGATGGTACATTCACACTAATTTTAATAGGTTAACACATAAACTGTTAGTGAAAAACTAAGCAGACACACTCATAAGGACAATGTAGAGGGACCAATCAACCGAGGAGCATTTGGACTGAAGGAGGAAGTCAGACCTTTTTGCTGTCAGGCAACAGTGCTGCCCACTGCTCCAACCCAATTCAGCTTTAGTTATGTTTTTAATCTTCTTGGTTATTATGGTCTCAATTTTTGAGCATTTTAATTGGTAGATTTTGTTTATAAGCACTCTAACCTCAGGAATAGCTCCAAAACCAGCCCAAGTTCTCCAAGGCGGCAAGGCAACGGGCCTATTTTTAAAATGTATTTATATTTATTTTCTTATTTTTTCGCATTTACGAGAGGAAGTCCCTTTCATTTTGAATTGCAGTGTATCTGCTCTGAAAGGCTTAAAAATTCCTTTATAATACTTTTAAACTCCTGAACCTTGTTTTTGAGAGCCTCTTTTTTTCATCTTATAGCCTCTTCCACATCAAAGTAACCTTTCATGGTTTTTTAAAGTTCTTGTTTCCTTCCCTTTTTTATGTTGTCCAGTCAACGGGTTTTCTCTGCACATGAAATTGTAGCTGATTTCACATGCTTTTAGGTCTTACTGTTCCTCTTTAACAGCCCAAAGTTGTTCTTGGAAAGCTTTGTTATTTTGTCTCAATGTCTCTTTTCTATGAAACAAACTATTCCTGGCCTCCTGAAGTTCTTGGGACACATCAGGTTTGCTGAGAGACTCAGTCTCCTGCTTTTCTGTGTTGTACTTTTGCTGTTCAAGGTCATCTGTTGAATTTTCAGAAAAGGAGACTGACTATATTGGCTCTTGTATAGCCTTTTGCTCCCTTTAAATCTGTGTCAAAATAAACAAGGTTGTCAAAATGTGGCTACTGTGGCCTTATACTACTTCATTGTCCTCTTTCATTATACTCTTGAATAGGCTTTGTGCTTCAACTGCAGCAGATGCTACTATTTGATTTTATGAATGCATCTTTCAATACACATCTATAGCTGTAGTGTAGATGCTGAAAAAGAAGCAACAACTAGTTCTCCTCAAATCTCTGACAAATACGTTGCATTGAGCCTCTGATGAGTGATTTTAAACATCAGCATATTTTAGACAAATACGAGGATTGGTCACAGATGTGGTACCAGCTTTAAACCAAATTTGTCCGTAACCATGGAGCTCGAGAGAGTCCTTTGTTTTACTCTTTGCACCTTTTTTCATTTGTGCTATAGAAAAAAAAATAAACTCACATTGTAACGTTAGATTTAAAGGCTTAGAGACGTAATAAAAAATCACCTTGTTACCCTGCTTTTGCTTTATTATTTCCAAGACAAGAAACTCTGAAGTTCTCAAACTGCTGGTTATTTGTGAGAGGATAGAAAAGGCCAAAGGACTGAAGGGGGCGGTCAAAGATGAAAACAGATGAATGGGTTTGTGTGTAAGCCTGTAAAAAACAGCTGCAGGTTTTGTTTTGGGAACCAACATTGTCCCCCCTACACACACACACACACACACACACACACACACTCATGCACTACTAACACAACGTCCCAGCCAAGTCACCCCAAAGGAGTGAAAATGCGCCTGTCACGCACCTTACCCTCCCACTCCTTCAAAAAACAAAAGCCAATCACTTCGAGTTTGCATTGACACTGAGGTACACACACACACACAAATGCAAACACACAACAGCGCTCTTGCGTTTCCACTCGAACACCGAGACGCATTTGTTTTTGTTTTTTTCATGCATGCAAACTCACAAGCACACAATCTCATCAACCCCCCTCCTACAAACACACAAGAGCATCCACAAATAAACACTTACTCATGTTCCTCCATTCACTGACTCATTTTAAATAAAATGCAGACACGCTGTAGGAAACTCTGACTATGCAAACCCACTCACATGTATCACATTTAACCTTTTTACATCAGCAAAATCAGATATATTTGTACAGGAATTATTTTTTTAACCGCCTAATGTGTTTGTCTGCATTGCCCTGCACATCTGCTTTTCTTTGCAAAGTAACAATTTTTCACGCATGCACTGTGTGTGTGTTTGTGTGTGTCTTGTGTTTATAGGTGCCAAAGGCTGGACCAGGGCTTGGTGCCAGCGTGGATAAAGAGCAGATGGCGACCCTGACAGGGCAGAAAACCTCCAGTTCCCACATTCTCCTGCTCTATTCAGCCTTCACTCCTATACTTGCACTGGCAGCAGGGCATGTGTGACGGGGATAGCCCAGCATTATACTCCAATGCACAGTCGTTTGTAAGGAAAATAAGGGGAACAAAAACGTCTGCTTTCATGTGTATACTATTTCTTTTCATGGGGTAATCATTCAAGTGATGGGAACTGGGCATTTGTGCCAGGCCAATTACTGGAAAAAATCTCCCAAGACATGGGTGACCCCTTGCCATGATAACAGAATCTTTGTAGAACGATGCTTTTATTTTGAAGAGTACAGCTGACAGTTGAGACAATTAAAAGGAGTTCACAGACAGTCTGCTGCTTCTTCTTCTTCATCCCTCCTTTTTTATGACCTGTAGCAACCAGTTTAAAGGACCAGCACTCGGCTCCCAATGTTACTGTCCATTTATTTTTAGCACAATATCAATATCTAATAATTTAACACAAACAGTTATGTCAATCAGTGCACAGCTAAATCAGTCTAAGCTCATAATTTGTTTTTCACCAAATTGGACTTCTCTCCTTGTCCATGTATACATGCAGCTGAGAAAATCGAATTATTGACATGAACGTGATCTCCTCCCCAAAACTAGGAGGCAATATAGGTCTTTTCAGCACCGCTGTTTCTAGACCTTTTTTAAAGATGTCTCCATTCCTCATTTTGCAACCGTACATATATATTAAAATGTCCATTTCTGTCAGGACAGAAAGCATAACACCGCTCTCCTCGTCGTTTCAAAAGTGGACATTTTCATGCTTCAGCCATGTTGCAGTTGCTTCTGTGTCGAAAGTTCTTTAAATGATAGTACCACTTCTTCTCTGGTGTTTTTGTTCAGAAGTTACTGAGAGGTGGCGCACACACACACATGCATTGTCCAATCACACTCCGACTATGCTGATTACATGGTAGAGAAAATCGAATTCCAATGGCATTATCTGGGTGTCTTAATCGTGGTTCCCCGACTCCACTTGGTTGTTCTCAAATTCAAACTGGTCTTAATCGGAGTAAGGCAATAATTCAGTTTTCCTGAGTGTCATGTAAACGTACTAACTGATACAGCCTATTATTTTTTCTGAAAGTTGGCGGTTGGGGTATTTGATTACCAGACCAAATATTTTTACACCACCTGCTATTATCTTATATTGAACTGAGTATTTCTGTCTGTTTGTTGCCTAAATGCGCTCTAAATTCTCTAAAATTGGAATTGTGTTTCTTGTACAGTCGGTCAGCATTCAGAGATGCAGTGTGAAGCAATTAGTGGCTTTTAACAGTGCAGTCTTGTAGAAGTCAGATAGCAAAATATTTTAGAGTAGATTTCAATAAGTGTATAATATCAGACATATGAAAATTAGTCTTTTATATCTCCTCCACAGAGGTGGCTTCATTGCACCGCTGTAATTCTACTGTAGCACAAAATGAATAAACTCTCAGTATAAACATTTTTGTGTTTAGTGAGTGGCTGATTGAAAGACAAAGCAGAGGAAGTAGTGGAGAATAGTTGTTGTGCGCAGAAGGATTTGTGTTGAAAGAATGTTTGTCCCCAAAGGCCATCGTTAATTCATTAACAAGAGGGGTGAACAAGGGAGCGTCTCAGTCCAGAATCTGACTACTAGAAATTGCAAAAATACCTAATACAAGAGAGTGTTCTCTTCCACCTATTTCTAGACATCCAAATTACCTCAAACTTTGAAATTGTTAACTTTTTAAAGCTGATATAGAAGTGTCCATGAACAGATGAAAGAATGGCATATCTAAGTTGTGAAAAAGCACTACGAATACATTACTTAGGAAATATTTAATTTAACTAAACTAAATTTTAGGGTACATTTTAAAAAAAGTCCAAAACTTGAGAATTTGAAAAAGAGTGACTTCTACGTACAACAGCTTATCATTTTCATTTAAGAACTGGTCGCTCTCTTATGTACAAAGACTCTGGTAGGAGTTTTCTTAAAAGAGAACTGATATGTCCATCTCTGAATGACATGTTTTGTATGATGAAAAGGGTACGTCTTCGGTGTAATCCACAAACATTTCTTCACGTCCTGTTTCTTTCTGAAGAAGAGGGGGATCACTGAGTCAGACACGAGGGAGGACATGAGAGAGACAAAAGAGGAAATGAGAGATGTGTCAGAGGATGAAAACAAAGACAACCCAAGAAGTGGATTGTGGAAAAAAAAAACCTTCTGCCTTTTCGCTCTGGTGAATTCTCAGACCAAAGGGCAACTTCTGCTTCTTCTCCTTTCAAACCGACAAAGTGACGTCCAACCTGTGTCAGTCACTGTCTAATTCAGCTGTCAAGTGTTTTAACTGCATCTGGGTCTGAGTGATGGTAAAAGATTGACCTGGGTGAAGTGGGTCTCACTCCGAGGAGGGTAAACACAGACTTACACAGTCAGAGGATGCTAAAATTTATCTTTTAACATTTTAATTAAAAAGTGCTGAGAGGCCTTTCTCAGTCTTATTCAATATAGAGAGACAGTTTACAGAAGCTCCAGATCAGCTTTTGTTGATACTCTAAATCTAAAATATTAAAAACTAGATGTCACTCATGGCTGTTAGCTGGTTGTCAAAGTACTTACCACATAAATGTGTTACGTTTTTCTGAATTAAATTTGATATCTGATTTAAAAGAAAACATTCAATATTTTCCATATGCACATTTTACCAATGAAAGCATGTAAACAATAAAAAATTCCCCTAATAGATTTCACTTTTAGTCACTGAGAGCTCGGTCTTTGTCACATACAGACACAGAGTTGTCTGTCACGTCTGTATTACTGTGAACTCTTGTGGCTGTTTACTCTTTAGGTTCCACTCAGCAATATATCACACTCACAGCCGCATAGCTCTGCCTGCTAAATATGTGAGTATTCAAGTGATATATTTGAAATAAGTGTCAAAGCTGCAGTTCGGGCAAGTTGAGTCCAACAATGCGAGACTTCCTGTGTGAAACCACAAATAAAACTGAGCAGGTATAGAAACCCACACTATGTTTATTTTTATAAAACCTAACTAGGTCACAGTATGATTTTGAAAAAATTGTGCACTCATAGAATAATCAGTTATTAAGTGTGAGTCCTAAAACTTTTATTTTCAGCATCCTATCCCAGAAAATGAAGTAATGATTACGGATAAATTAGAAATTCATCTCATGGTGACGTTTCAGATGTCACACATGCACAAAACTCTGACAAAGTTCCCTCTTGGGGACCCTACAAAAATGTAAGGATGTAAAGGGGGAATCATTCAAACCGTGAATGTTACAAAACAATAATGCAACAATACAGGAACTTTATTTATCCCTAAAGAGAAATTCGTTTGTCTGGAATCTCATTAAAAAAATTCTCTAGCAGTACAGTTAACAAACTGTGTAAATCCAGTCAGGTGAGATACAGGGTGACATGGTTGCAGTCTCCTGGTATTATTGCAAGTGCCTCAGGATGTTGAGCCTGTATCCTAGCAACAGTATCATGGAGAATAACCCCTAACACCATCTCTGGTTGACAGATAAAGCCAGACCTCTTCCTGTCTTCTTGCCACTTGCTTCCGCAGTATCATTCTGTCTCCCACTATGAGAGTGAGTAGCCAGGTAGATCCTGACTTTACAATGAACAGTAACAAAACTGGATTTACACCACCACTTTTTTATGGCATTTAAATTGTGTATATTGTGTATATTGTAGGTATGCTTTCTCAGTCTTTACCAATATATCCAGCATGTCGCTTATGTTGGGCAGAGAGTTGACATTTCCCATGATGTCTGACAGAAGAAAGGGTTTACATCTCCACCTCAAAGCATTCAACCTTGCAGCTTTTCACCTTTGCAGCAGCATGGCAACCACAAAAAAACCTCCAGGTGCCCGCTGGAATTAGATGTTGTCGCCCAGATTTGCTCTGTCTCGATTAAAGAAGCTCTTCTCTTGAATGAACTCTTGTCCCAGAAGAAATATCCACCAGCAGCCGCCAAAACACAACAAAAATACAGAAAAATAGGGCAAAAAAATGCAGAAAATTAAGAGAGACCAGACTTTGCTGCTCCTTGGTTGAGCACAGGTTCTGGAGGTGCTTGTGCATCCCTTCTTAGCTAAGCACTGATATCACATCATTAACATTATATTGTGGCTTCTGCATTGTGCTTTTTGATGTTTCACCCCCCTTTGAATACATAAAAAGGCTCCTGTATTTTTTCTAAGTGTTCAGAGAAAATTAAAAGAACCCGAAGAGTCTTTACTCCCTGAAGCTTTTAATGAGAATCGTCTTCTCTCGCTTTCACAAACCTAAAAGTCTCCTTTCTCGAGCTTTTCATTGTTCTACAGCTTTGACACCTGCTGTATGACCACCACGATGAAGGCTTTAACAAAAGACGGAGATTCGGAGAAATATCACCAGATGACTTCATCGTCCATGTATGTGTATCAAATACCAAAAGAAACAAAGAGACAAAGACCGATTAAGAGACAGTGAGACAGATGGCCGTGTACTGTGCAGCCCAAACAAACAGCGATTAACAATAAAACCATAGGCTCCTGGCATCAGGAATACCTAAAGATTTTGATTTGATTCCCTTACTTAGGTCGGCATTTGGTTCCTTCCTCCACCCTTTGCTCTCCATCTGGCCTCCATTGTCTGCTCACCCTGAGCGACAGGTGGTATTGTTCCCACAGAGACAGTTGCCGGGGTGGCACGCTCCTGAGGGTGTAGACTGTGCGCACACGCACACGCAAACAACAGACACTTTACCAACCTGCTTCCTGTGTGTGTGTTCCTGTCAGACGGGCGGTGTCGCGCCAGGAAGTGCGCCGTCTCATCAGGTCAGGTTGCCGCTCTGCGGGCGGGCAGGTGTCTCGAGTGTCCCACGTGAAGCAGACATGACGGAGTATGTAGAATCAATCCCCCTGATTTCCTGCAAATGTAATAAAAAACCTTCAAATGTGTACAAGGGGATGTTTTATTGAGGTTTCATGGTTTATATTTGATTTCCTAAGACCCTGGACAAATATGCAAGAAAAGCCAGAGCTAATCTCGAGGTTTAAAGAAGATAAAGAAATCAACTCTACATTACAGATAAAGCTTTCTAGATTGATTAAATACATATTTGTTTGGATGTACCAGGACCAAACGGAGCCGAAAAGGTCCATAAAATCCCAGACCAGCTTGTGCAGAATAATCTTATTCTGTATGCATTTCTCTTTAACAGACCAGCGATACAGCTTTAAGCAAATCTGTTAGTTACCACAAGTCCATGATAAAAAAGCTCATTTAAAAAACAGAAAAGATGTTTATGATATATTGCGCTGATATTTATGACTCTTCATTGGGCCAAGATTTGAGTTTGTCAACACTTTTGTTGACGACCAAATGTCTGCAAAACTGGTTACGTCCCCATCAGCCTCAGCTTTACGTTCAGGTTTGACTTGAAAAAGCAGGTGTCCTATCAAGAGAGTGACAAACTGTGTTTTTCCACCTAAACACCGACATGTGACAATACTGGTGCTGGCACACAGTTCACATTATCCTATCACCCATCGTTTTTCATTTATCGAAACTAAATCAAAGCCAACCTCATATTGAGATTTTACCACAGAGTCATGACAAAGCACCACAGTAGCTCCGTCTTTGTTTTTTAACACTGAACCATACTTGTGCATTATTACTACCCCTGTGTGTGATTTTGCACAGCCATGTAGAAGCAACAGAGATGTGAAGTATGAGTAAAGGAGTTCACGCTGCAAACCAGAAGGTGCCGTTCCCTGCATGCTCCGGAAACAAGCCCTTTACAAAAAAAATAAAGTCCACAACAAAGCTTTGTTGTTATCATGCGTTTGTACTTCGTAGTGATCTTGCAATGGTGTCATTTTGGTTCTCAGTGTGTTGTTTCAAAAGAGCTAGGGTTGTACACACACACACACACCAATCGCTGTTTCGCCCTGCCAGCTCCCCCCACCTTACTGCCTCTTTACTTTTGACACAGATTGTGAGACATAACAGCCTAGCCTTGGACATATTATGTTCAAGAGGCTAAACTCTGCCCACATCAAGGTTTCTGGCTGAAAAAAGTTAAACCTGGCTTGACTTTTCATACCGCACATTGTAATCCAGGATTCTCCAGGGACAAATCATACTTGTGGGAGTGGGAGTGGACATTTCTGGTGGATGACTTTTCATGTAATTGTCATAATAACTCATGTCATGACTTTCCAGCTATTGAGTCCAGAATTAAAGATCCTTCTTGGGTCATCATGATATTAGTTGGAGGAAAAAGTAAGCATAATAGGACGTAAATATAAATCAGCCCAACAGGATAGAGGACAACATAGGAGCCTTCAAATGTCGTATTGTTCTGTAAAAGTACCAAGGACTTATGTATTATATAAGCTCTGTGCTGTATTTAAAGCGCCTCTAAGGAACTTTAGACACAGTTAGCATTATTGTGGCTATAGAGTGGCTCTTTGGTTGAGGTGTGTGTGTGGAGTGGGAGACCGCTGTGTATTGCTATCCTGCGATCATTACTAAAGTTGGTATAACTAGAGACGCAAGCGGTCTAACCTAGTCATCTACATGGTTCAAATATACTTATTAAAAAGTTTCTTTGGTCAAAAAAAGAAAGAAACATTTTTGACTGACAAGTGTATCATTTAATGTAAGTATTTTTGTGGAAATTGTAAAATCGACTAGTTTTCTTCAGCTGCTTGGCGAACAATCCCCACTGGCCCTGGTTCAGACATTGACAATTACAGCATAAAATCCTTCGTCATGTTGCCAATGGTCTCGTTTGCTTTAAGATATCATAGTAAGGCATCAGTATGAATCTGAGTCTATTTCATAAATACAAAAAAAGTCATCACTGGATCTCTTGTCTTTAAGGATCACGCTGTTTCCTGTCTTGCAGTTTGAGAAAAACGGTACGAGTGTCTCTATAAGATATGTTTTGGTCTGTGAACGTAAATATTTCTTGTCTCCTTCTCATCTTCAAACTCCAGCTCACATGATTTACAGGGAAAAAAACTAACTTAAATCCTCCATAAGTGGTGTCCGGAACCAGAAGAGTACATTATCAAGTTTTTAAGTGAATGCATACAAATCTATGGGGGTTAATACAGTTAATAGGATTCATTTAGTGATTTATGTGCGGACTTAAATTGCTTTGATAAGAGTTAAATAATCATTCTTAAGAGTTGTAGACTGTGTGTGTGTGTGTGTGTGTGTGTGTGTGTGTGTGTGTGTGTGTGTGTGTGTGTGTGTGTGTGTGTGTGTGTGTGTGTGTGCTGCAGCCAGACTGACTGTATGCTGTCAGTGCTCATTAGGATAATGACTGTGGGACCTGGCAGGTGTCCAAACTTAAAGAGAGGGACGGTCGGAGGGGGGAGGAGGGCTGCAAGCAAAAAGAGTTATAATGGCTTTGGGGGGTGGGGGTGATGTTTAATGGGATCACATTTCATCCACTCGCACTCCCTTTACACACACACACGCACACACACTCACACACACACATTTTGTTAGTTATAAACAGACAATGACAGTGACAAACATTTATGCTTCGGCTAACACAGATCAGCATAAATTGTGAAGTACAAAAAGACAAACAAACTGTAAAATTTAGGAGTCGTTTCCCTCCTCCTCATATCATCAGGGCAGCTACGGACACATGGTTTATGTTACAGTTCGTCTGTGAGGTCGCCTACATGTTCTGGGCTTTTTACAGACTCTGCAACATTCGAACAGGAGAACTGCTTTTGACCTCTCACTTCAACAAAGTTCAGACTCCAGCTAAAAGATTTTATTCATAATAATCAAATACTTGAAGAAAAAAGTATTTTTTTAATACCATTTGGCAACGATTAGACTCTTTATTTTAACATCCAAATCATCTTACTGACAAATGTATGTCTGCATCCACTGTTTTTGGTCACATGCTTCCTTTTAGCTCACTATTATCAGGCTATTTCCTGGTTGAGCTACCATGTCATGTACTAAAACAGTCAACAAACGCGTAAGCAGCAGGCTAACGGTTTTACATTGACCAATACAAACACAAAACACCTTTAATCATCTGTTAGATTAAAGCATATTCCTCTTTTTTCTTTTGTCCCTTCTTTTTCTGTCGACTTTTAATTTTATTACATGGCTTCCTATCAATGCATCTATGTTCAAACTCCCAAACTCCTCAAAAGTTGATGCCAGTTTGTGTTTAAATGACAATAAAACAAATCAGTGTCTAATAAATTAAAAGATGAACGTTCAAAGAAAAGGGCTGTGAAAAGAGATTTGTAAATCTTGACCTGATTCCTTATTTTCTTCAGATTTTTATATTTTCAAAGAATTTTGGATTGAAAACTTGAGATTGCAGCTGAAACGTCAACAGTATATATGTATTGCTGCGTTCCAGTTGTACTTGGAAGTCGGGATTTCCAAGCTCTGAGTCAGAAATTCATCGGGAACGACCCCCTGAAGTCAGATTTCCGAATCAGAAAGTTGGACGATCCGCACCGACCCCAACTTGACGACAACGTCATAATCCAAGATGGCAGCGCAGTGCATTAACAGTCAAGAGTAACCGCGAAAACTCTTGTAATGTATTATTTATTAAAACTTCTGTTTTGTTTTTGTGTAATTAGATAAGGGTTATATGTTGTACTGCCTAACGTCTAACTGTGAACACAGTGCTATGGTGTTTGTAAGTGTAAAATACTGTGTTTTGCGTTGTTTACAACTGGTATAGCTAACAACAACTAACAACAGCTGACAACTGCTAACAACAGCTAATAGTAGGTGTCTATCTTGGTTTTCCAACTTGTTTACTGGAACGCCATTATCTCGGGTATAACCTCATTCCCAGCTCCGACATCCAACTTCTGAGGTAACTGGAACGCAGCATATGGGTGTGTGTGTTTAAAAGGAAAGGTAAATCTAAATATACTGTCCTTTTCTTCAGATCGCAGTAAAACAACTGACTTTTGGTTTCTGTTGATAATATATTTATTTACCTATTTACCCCCGGAACACTGATCAGTCATGTTGTGACAAGTCAAGAGACAAGATTCACTCGGACACAAACAGTCCTGTTGGAACACAGTGAAGCTGAAGTCCAAATAAGAAGGACAAATGTGAAACTCTAGTCCTCTCCCTGATGGCTTTGAAGCAGCTGTGCGGAGCCTGTGTTAGGTGGCATGTTTGTCACAAAATCCCTCACTCAGGAGGATCAAGGGCGTTTGTCTCACACGCAGACATCACACGTGTCTGAGGACAAAGGGAATAATCCAGTCAGAATGAAAGGTCAGAGTCGGGGAGCGGCTCAGATCTGTGAAAGACGGGATGGGTCCAGAAAAGAGATTCACAAAGAGGTTCAAGAGGAACAGATTACTGTTGACAGGCCTAGAGGAGGAAATATGGCCTCGTATGGGAACAACATCTATCTTCACTAACTTTTGATAGAATATAAATCAAAATTATGGCACTTATGGGGAAACGACTTGGCCCAGTGGGTAATTTGCATACCCTGTGGGGAGAGGCAAATGGATGGTCCGGGTCTGGATGTCACTCACGACTGTCAGTCTAGCTTTGTCTACAGCTCTGTCTGTGTCCTCGCCAGGCAAGTTATTGACAGACCTCTGTTAAAGTAGGTGCATGCTTTCAGCTTGTTACTTGGTTGTCTCTCAGTTGACCCATTATGTATCAAACAATCAACAAACACATAAGCTGGTAGCCAACACTAAGTACGGGAAATGATGTAAACACTGTCACTTCAACAGCTCTGTATCTTTGAGTCTTATTATAAGACAGTTTTATCTCTTTTTTATACCCTTTCCTATTTTGTTTAAAGGTTTTGTTTACTAATTTGCTTTCCAGAGACCATAGACTGTATAATAACTAGATGAAGTGTCAGCGCTGTCACCTGTTTGTTTCTAAAGCAGTGTTTTTAGGCCTATTGATCGTCGACTCCATATTGGAAATGCTGATTTAACCTTACTTTAAGTCATGGCTACAGTGTGCCCGCCTGTCTATCAAGTCAGCCACACCTCTGATTTGCCAGTATTGTACCCTTAATATCTTGAAAATGAACACGTTAAAAAAAAGTTATTACTGTGGGAGCCCTGAGTTATTCAGACCTCTCTTTTTAAACTTTTTTATCTCAGTCTTTATTTGGTTTCTGGTGCTACTGCAATCTGAAGGCGGCACTCAGAACTGTAGTCTTTAGCACTCCCATAATACCTTTATTTCTTTACATAGAAGAGCCGGAGCTGCTTGCTAGCAACACATCTGTGCTGTCAACTTTTGGGCTGAAGCCCGGTCTGCAAATTCTGTCTGAATTCCTAAGAACAATTGACGTAACGACAGAATGAAACTGATACAGAGATTGTATTTAACTGGGATGAAGGTAATGGGATGCTTCAAATGTGCAGCAGGCCAACATGAGATACCATTAGGCCTTCATCAAACAACGCAACTTATTTGACAGGTTGTGCACTTATCTGTGAACATTTTGACGGGTGTGTAAGGGAACGCAGCTCACCTGCTGTTCTTGAGCAGAGCTGCAGGAAAGTGATCTGTGCCTCGAAACAAAGGAGTTGGGGCAGAGGGGGGTCGGTCCATTAGCAGGTTAATGCAGAGTGCGTGAGAGAGCGCGGGATGGTGCGTGTCCTGTGCACATTGGAAGCAGATTGTGAGGTTATGGGTGGGAGCCTTTTCTTTACCCCATACCCAAGTCAAATGTTTTTTTCTAGCACACCTTGCTCTGAGAGAATAGTGGAGAGGTTTCCCAGGAGAGCTGACCTCTCCCTGCCGGTGGGAACCTATTTGTCTCCTTTCCTCTCTCTCCGCCCGGCTCTGAAAGGAGGATGCTTTAACCTACGCTACACTAACTAGAGATCGTCTTAAATTTCACCTTTTACCAGAGTCCCAGGAGGATGCGCTCGACTTTCTCAGGTTGAGGAAAACATGACAACCTTTTCTAAACAGAATGAGCTGGACAGAAAGGACTTTGACATGTGTTTGAAAGGGAGCAACAGTATTAATTTACTGAGGCTGAGATTTAACTCTACACTGTGCACTTAGCCGAGGTAAAGGAAATATATACACTCAGAGATACATAGGGAACAGAAATTATGAGCTGAGTTCAGAGAGATATTATACAAACTAGAAATTAAATTGGTAGTCATGAAATACGGGTGTTAAAACTATAAACAAACTATGCTGCAAGTGTCCCTTCAGTCTAGTGTCATTTGTGACCTCCAGATTGAATTTGTGTCACATTTTCCTTTATCTTTCAAAAGTCAAATTTGTTTTGATCCTATAGTCAGCACCTCAGCCTGCAACACCAAACTTTGCCTCCCAGGCCCTGTCCACACTTAGACAGATATTTTAATACGTACACTCGATGCACAGTACAAAGACTTATGTTTGCTGCTGGCTCAGTAAGATGGTCTGTATGTATGAGCACAGAGTTCTTCTATGGTGCTTTGACTTTATAGACTGAATACACATTATTGCCTCATACTTGTCTGGCTCCCTTAAAAGTGTTTCAGCTCTGTCATATGTGCAGAGGAATAATTTTAAAAGATTTAAAAGAGACACTAGGGAATTTTTTTTAGAAAATAAGACATTAAGTGTGTGGGAAATTTTTACAGATACATCCACACACCAAACAGGAATGATTAAAAACTCACTTAAATGTGTAATCAGTCCACAACAACACAACAAAGCAGGACTGATTAAAAACTCACTTAATTGTGTAAACAGTACATTACAACATTCCAAAACAGGACTGATTAAAAACTCACTTAATTGTGTAATCAGTACATTACAACACACCAAAGCAGAACTGGTTAAAACCTCACTTAAGTGTGTAATCAGTCCAAATTATGAAAACCCCACTGAATACTGTGCTCATGCGTATACAGTGACTTCCTGAGTGAGTAGCAGTTGTTCACAGCTTTCTTTGAACTTTTGACCATGACATACTTTTCTGTCCAACACAGCAGTGTAAGGAATTAATAAACTAGTTTTCTTAAAATTTTACAGTACCAAGACTTAAACGAATCTGTAGCATGCCATCTTGGTGGTGGCATATGATACTTAAAATGTGCAACAGCATTTACCGAACTTTTAGCTTTTTCCGTTCTGAGCCTCTGCAGATTCGGTGGACATCTGATTTAGTGTTCAGGGTCAACCAGCTTTGAGATGACGACAGCACAAACTGAATGTGGTTCACACTGTCTGACTCTGATGTGCGGCTCTGATGTGAGACCATTAAATTTAATGCAAGGGCTGTGGTTTAACTTAAAGAAGGACTATTTTTAGCACAAAACTGCAGTCATTACAACAAAGTTTCTTTTTCCAAGCTGCATTGGTGAGAAAGTGACTCAGAATTCCCAGATGACTCAAACAACTGAGGCACCCTAACCCACAAGCTGCATTTAGGAACAGATGGAGTTTCATTGGAGTAAAGTAAGGACAGGGCTTTTATAGATTTAATAAACAGGGGGGATAATAATCAGCGTTAAGTTTTAAAATACATTTAGTGTACTGACCCACTGAGCAATAGACGGCTATTAGACGTCTAATTTTTTTAAGACCTAATTTCAACGTCTAGATTCTGCATATTTTCAGACTGAATTTGGATGTTGCACTTTAACCCATTATTAGATAACTACTTATTTCAAAAAGCAACTGTGAGTTGCATAACTGATCTCCAGTCAAAAACCAGTCAAAACGTCAAAATTTGAATCTGTTCCTCGGCTAAGCATGTTGATATCATCTTGATGAATAACAATGACAGAAGCATATGGGCCGCAATTCAGAATAACAATGTGAATATTATATCAGTCATTTCTACAACTTTAATTTATATACAATAAATACAGACATCACTAGTTAAAATCCCACTGTTAACTAAGTAGTATGTTCCAAAACTTTGAAAACAGTCCCTGAAGGCTCCAACCATCTTACACAGGAGATTTTAAAAAAGTGAACCTGGTGATGGTGTTTCTATTGTGTATTTGGCTGTTAAACACTGTAAATAATATAGTGCACTCAGATACCGAGGAATGGACACCTGAATCATGAGTTATCAAAAATCTGAACAAGTTTCAACATTAGGCCTTATTCTGCTGCATAGACAAACACAAACACACTCACACACTAACACACCTCCTTGTTTAGAAAATCTAAACAAGGAGCTGAAAAGACAGAGAAACTAAAGATGAGGACAATTGTCGTTGCATCCCTGGAGAGTTCCTGCAGTCATATCCCTTCCTCAGACAGGAAGTCACACATAGTGTTGGCCAAACGGAAAGATACAAGGGGTTCCCTGAAGGAAACCTGAGACAGCGGGACACCGGATCACTGAGGGGACCTGGGCCTCTTTCTCTGTATCTGCAGGTACAATGGGACCTGCTGCACTAAGTACTATTCACCAGAGGTAAGGGATATAAGGCCACCGTGTATGGTGGATAAAGTAGGCAGGTAAGTATCCACTGCTCTTTATTCAGAAGGCATTATGTAATGTGGCACAGGAAGAAAAGAAGGAGATCCCAAAAACAACAGTGTCACTTTCACCTGCAGGTGATGTCATTGAACATGGAGAGGTTTTTACAGAGCCTAAGGAGGAGAGTCTCATGCTTCATTTGAATAAAGGGAAATATGAGTTATGGCACCACTGCTCAACTCCAAAGCACTAGGTAAGGCTCTTGGCCTGTTTCCCACATGAATTTCTGACACAATATTCAGAATGACATAACAATTAAAACATTGTTATTTGTTCAGCTTTAATTTGGTTTTGAGCAAGGACCTGTGTATCCCTGCATACACAATCTTGTGTTGTTCATTTTCTGTCATATGTTTTTAGCTACTTTTTGAACCATTAAAACCTTTGCAAGCTTGTGGTGTACATATGTCCATTCTAGTTAATAGCTCCTGTTCAGTCCTTTTCTCATATCACCTTTAACCAAAGCTGTCATATGTTTTTGTTGACTTGTAGTGGCTCATCAATGAACTTTTTTTGACTCTTATATAACTATCACTTTTTGTATTCTGGCACGAAAAAACATTACAAGACCACTTTTTGAGAATCTTGCTGCGCTTGCACTCTAAGAGGGTGATTTGTTGTTTGTTTGTTTGTCTTCAGCTTTGCTTCTTCTTGAAACTTCCCAAAGCTGTGTCTTTGGCGCAAGAAGAGTCCAAATCTTATTAGAGTTTAACAGTTTAACACCTTTTAAGCTTCTTATTCAGATAAACAATTACAGATGTGTGGCATTTTGTTCAAACCCACATGGTAGTGTCTGTTTTTACCTGTTGGGGTCAGGTCAAGACAAAAATACTATACGGTGAAGAAAAGGAAAAACGTCCAATTAGATTATTTAAAATACTTATCAACATTTAAAACCTTGAATGCACCTCTTTATTTCTATTTTCCTAAATGAAGTCACTGTCAGCATCTAATGTTGCCCTGAAAGGTTAGCAATACAGCCTCAAACACATGAGCAGGGCACATGATCACGTCTGTGAGATCATGAGGTTCATGTAAAATGTTTTTGCTGAACACCTTGAGAATGAGATTACGGTGTTTTATCATTTTAAACCCCCCTTAAGTCAACTGTAACCTTTATTTGATCAGCAAAACCATCCATAGTTGCCTCTGAAACACACAAAGGACGTGTTTCTGTTAATTATCGTATAATGAGTTTGTTCTCCACTCTGTGTGCACCATGAACAGCAGTAGCATGGATTTTCCCTCCACTTTTCGCTCACTGATCCCACCACGCTGTCTTTCATGACCATCCAGTTAAGCCATTGCAATCCTTCACTTTGATTAGCATTTGAAAGTTGTCGTCTGCAAGTACCTTTCCCCACCCAGGTGGCACCTCTCACTTTTGCGTCAAACAAACAAGACAATCAACTTCACCTTTGTCTTCGGGGAGAAAGTAATCATGTCCATCACATCTCCACATTCTTGAATAGATAAGGTATTCAGATACATGTCTGACTGAGGTCTGGATAGCTAATGAGGCTCTACTTATCACAGCTAAACAAGCACCCTATTGTAATGTAGGCCAGAGCATCAGTTGTCATTATAAGGTGTTGCTGACAACTCAGTAATAACCTGAGATCCCTGAAGAGTAATCTGAATGTTAATCTGTGTTATCTCTGGATAAACGCATATACTCAACTATGGTCAAAGACATCAAAAAGAAAAAAAACACAGATTAAAGACAAACCCTTTTTTTCAACTCTGGCTCTCATTTCAGCTGTTGGTTAAATATTCAGTTTAATGTATTTGTACATACTAAGTTGGACCTTTTTTGCATTATATTTATTTTCAACCTCAAACTAAGACATTTTCATAAATTTTATAATTATCTAATCATTTTGCATTGTTTTATCATTACATGCACTTTTTATGAAGAAACACTGTATTTTCAAACTTTGTCATATACAGTGTTTTATTTGGCAGGATGAGTGCCATGTGTATTATTTTACTTGTATTATTTCAATCTAGTTAACCATGTTCTTAATTTTTATTTTTGACATTTAATTTTATTGTTTCGTTTTCGTTTTAATCCCTACATTTGACTATAAATTATGTTATCCTTATGGATTGTTATTTCACATTTGAATCAGAGGACCTCAGGAAAAGTAGTTGCTTCCTTCGCAGTGGGTAATGAAGATCCAAATAAATAAATGTATTAATTGATAAATAAATAAATCAGTACGGAAAACCTTATCAAAATCAAAACATAAGTCATTTAAATTCAATTAGAATACTTTATAATTTCTTCATATTGCCATCATGAAAAGGAGGCTTGACTATATACAAGTATTTTTTTCCTGTCTTGAAGGTGGTAGTCTCACTCGGCCTTACTAGTTGATAGTGTGTGCTAATGTAAACTCATTATTTTCCATGCGCAGATGAAAACATCATTCTTGGGGGCATCTGTCACAAAGGAGGGAGGGTTGCATTTGCATTAAAAGTCGTCTCTACAAACACAATGGATGTACATTTATGAGTAAAGGGTGTGACTCTCTTTGTCTTCACTTGAAAAACCTGCTGTTTCTGTTTTACAGTGCTTTTACTCACATTAAAGGTATTTCTTTGTCTACGCTGACTGCAGGCATGTCCAGGCATGTTCTGCAGGGTTAAAATACCTTAAACAAGGTCCTTTTAACTAAAACAACTTAATGAATTTTGAATTGAATCATGGTTTTAACTACATAATAATATAAATAACCACAGGGGTTGATTTTTGTTGCACTGTAAAATCGCTCATAAGGAGGTTTCCCGACTATAAACTGCTTAATATTGTGGTAATTGTGCGTGGATTTAACTACAAAAGTGTCATGAAAACACAAATGGTTCAACATGTTGTTTACACATCTACGAAAAAACTTTAAATACACTCACAGTACTACCTGTGTGGATAGAAAGAATTATTTTTTCCCATCATTTGCCTGGTTGACGTTGACATCGCGTGTTACAGTGGCGTGACACTGAGAACAGGCTGCGTAAAAGAGGCTACACGGCTTGGTTGATAAATCGCATTACTAGATTGCATAGACAAGACGTTAGTGTGGGTAAATGCCATGCAAGTTTGTTGAATTTTTGCAGTTTGCTCAAAGGATTACTGATACATTTACGGCAGACAATAGATCATAAATAGTGTCAAAATTAAATCCAGGAATGCATCGTACCACATGGGTTGATGACATAGCAGAAGACCTGGGTATCTAGCTTTAATCTTCTTGTAAAGCTACGGTTCATGCCAGCAAAAGTAAGGATTATGTTTTCATGTTTAGTTGTCTGGTATGTGTTGGAAGTGTTCGAGATATGACAGAACATAACTTAAAGTTAAGTCTGTGTGAAGTATCGTTTGGACAAAGAGGGTTGACCTGTACGTCCTGTTGCACTGGAGACCAGATTCCAGTTTCTGACTCAGCTGTGGTTCCACACCATATAAGAAAAGGGATATGGAAGGTTAACACGAACAGGGGTTTTTCTCACATGACTCAGTTTCTTTGTGACTCACTTCTGATTTCTAGTTAAACTGTGTCGTGGAGTGACTGTGGGTTTAGGTACTTTTGCCCGGGTGTTAACAAGAAGGACAGGAGGGACTTGCTCGACTTCACCGTTGCAGGTTCACAGTCAAAGTGATGAAGCACAAATTTGGAGGAAAAGAACTGGTTGACTAACATTTTGGTTAGGCGGTGTCAAATACATTTTCTTAATCAATATATGTCCTTTTATTCATATTCATTGGTTTTCTTTCTCCTTTCTTTTAAGCCTTTTTTATTTTAACATCTCATGCTGACTGATGTTGTCCTGTTTTTCTTTCCTGTCATGCCATTTTTGTGTCTTTTAATTTAATCCTTTCATCTATGACCCAGAAGTCACCAAAAACAAAATGGAACGATATTAGACTGAATTTAAAATCAAAAATCTCTCCAAGTGACTGACTAAAGTGTCAGCCATCCTAATTCCTTGTATCTTAACTCGGGTCAACGCCTGACACTGACAAATGCAGGTTTTCATCGACTGAAGCTGTGGCATAGGGTTGTCTTTTCTCAAGGATAGCTCGATAAAGGGAGCTGTTTCAGCAAAACGCTCAAGCCAAGACATTCTCCAAAAGGAATGTAGACACAAAATTGGACCCGTCCACTTGTTGATGATAATGAGTAAAACTCCACAAACTTGAAGCCAGAGAGCTCCTGATTCAATGAAACTGCTCCATCAACCTGCTGAAATACTTTGTCTAAACAAATGAGCTGTTTAAACAACCCAGAGGTCATTTTCTCTTAAGAGCCCTGACCATCAGGATATACTGTATATACTTAAAATCCTTGCTAGATAGATATAGATAGAGATATTTATATACCAGTTGATGTCTAGAGGGTATTTTCTTGAAAGTCATTTTAGACCTTTATTCAAAAGTTTTGCTTTCATTTCTTATGTTGTTGTTTTTCCTAACCTTTTCAGCAAACCCTTTCTGATCAAATCATCTGTGGTGTCAACAAAAATTCCCAATAGGAAGATAATTCTTTGTTTAATCTATGAAAACACACATACAGACTATACTTGTATCTACATCTGGCTCCTGAAATAGTGGGCAACCTGTCCAGGCTCGGTTTCAAATCTGTACATCAGGTCTAAATATAGGTACTTTTTCTGATTAAACACAAAGCTAATCCAAATGTAGACAGCTTAAAGAATAAACACACAATAACTCAGAAGTCAGGTATAAGCAGGGCTTTCCCGAACCCTTTCTCTAGATTTATTGCTCTATTAATCTTCTCTTTATCTGACTTATCAACAAAAGTCCAAACACCGCAACATATAGTTCATCGCAAACTGCACGAGTTAGGGCATTAAACTTTTTGTTGAGTTGTCGAAGTTAAAATATCCATCTCCATCTAAACAAACAGTGAACAAACAGCCTTATTTGAATCTGTCTTTGCTCTGTCATCCCTCATTTACTCCTGTCACTCTCTTCTCTAACCCCTCAGTATATCCTTCCTCACCTTCCTCCGTGGTGGATGTTGGATGTGATTCAATATCCTGGAGTCAACAGGAGACTGGGTCTGTGTTTATTCTTGTTAGGCCGCAGGTGATGCAGCTGTTCTTAAAGCGAACTGAAAGCTGTTGAATCATACGGTAAAGAAGGTCAGGTTCCCAAGCTTTCAAATCACACACCACTCTGCACAATACAAAATGTCCAAAACATTGAAGAAAACAATTATGTGTCTCTACATAGTGAGAGTCTGGGATAAAGAAGCTTTGTACTTTAATAGTACGTCTTCAGAGGAACATAAGAACGCATATTCACAGCGTTACTTCCCAATAATCAAGGGTGGCCATATTCTGAATCCCCAAAAAGAAGACACTACTATGCGGAACAGAGTTGCGCGCAAAATTTTAGGGTTTTTTTCAGGTCCGGTTGAGTGTTTTTACACGCTTCTAACACAGTTGGTCCACGGTGCACAAACTCAAAACTTCCATACAAAACCCTAAACGTTTAAAGGATTTTATAAACTCCCCAAGACAGCCCCCAAAAAGAGGACATATAAGGGTAAAAGAGGACAGGTCTGGGTACCCCAAATAATCCTGTTTCCTGAAGTTCTTAAGTTTCTATTTCTGGTGCTGAAATAGTGGTGATTTGACTTGGTCTCATCATTTTCTCTCAATGACATTCAGTCAAAAGACAACATGCAAAGTGAATATTAATGTTGGGTTGTGAATTTGCAGTATGAAAAGGACTTTGGTTTGTTTGATGTTTTGGCTTTCAGAACGCGTTAGATGGTCGGCCGTGCGCAATTTTCTTTTAACACTTTCTTCCTTGTACAACAGAAATCGCTGCAGGTCTTTAAATCCATAGTAAGTAAAGAGCTGGCTATCTGACAGTTTAAGTACCACTCTGATTACCTTGACTCAATCTGGGTCGATTTGTGAGACCACCAAATGACCAAAATCATGGGCATGTGCACCGACTCCAGCTAAACTCCCATGATTTTATTCAGATTTTGAAGAACTGTCTATGACTTTAAAATCACCTGAATAACCAGGTAATGTAAGCCAGTATAAAATGTCTAAATCATTATCTCAACAACGTAATTTTTTTTCTGAAGCAGAATTTTGAAGCTTATCCATAGCAGTTGCCATATTGGAAATGGCGACTCTACTCAACGTTTGGTTGCCTTAGCATGAGGCAAAGAGGCAAAAATTAATGATTTTTGAGGACTTTGTGAGCCAGTCTCAAGAAGGCAGTTGAGAAACGGCAGGGTTTCTCACTTTTGCATGAGTCTCAATTTTTGGGACTGGAGACTACTGCTTGCTGGAGTCACTTTGAAAACAAGTGCCAGGATTTTCAGCAAGGCTAACGTGGCACTTAGATACTAGTCCTACACTTGACAGAACTATAGAGTATCATATCAGAGGTCTGGTAAATACAAAAAGCACCAACTAGCTGGATTGTAATTGTGTTTCTTTTTTAACGTTTAGGAGACTCTTTTTTCCATATAAAGTTTGAGATACCACATTTTGACAGGAGTTGTTAAATGTCACCAGTACAAAAGGGGGTTAAATGTGGTTTAATTTTGCAAATGTCATGACCTTGCTATGACAAGTACAGATATGAATGACAGCGTTTTTGGCTTTTAATGCTTGGTGTATTCTCTCTGAATCAATTTATTTCAGATGTCTTTTCAGAAGAAAGAGCTCATTGTTAGCGAACAGTCAAAGTTGAAGCGAGGTCTTTCATATACCCTACAGCAAAATGTTGCAGCTGAATCAGCTGCTTCTCAGTGAAAGTTCAGCACACTTCCAGTCAATTAAGCAGGAGTACAAAAGTTGTTTTTTTTAGGTTTAGTTGGTGCAAAATGGGGTTCCTAACTGGTGTGTATTTGAAGCAAAACAAACATGTTGACAGAAAATGTCAATCTGCAAGCAGCCAACATTTCCCTTACAGAGAATCAGCCTCTGTTCTCAGCAGTGGCAAACTTCATCCATAAAAAAACACATGATAAATTTATGGTCTGTTTAGTATTCAAACCAGAGGCTGAGCCTGGGAGCACCTGTCAGGTGTACTCAAACAATTTCATATTTAATTCATCTCAAATGTGACACATCTGCCTTAAAAAAATAATTTATATGTACCAAAGTGCAGAAGTACACTCTATTTGTGAACTTCCAAAAGGGCTTTTAGCTGTGACGACCGATGTCTGCAGGTGGAAATGGGAGGAGGAAGAAACTGCTGCACAAGTTGGCCTCATCAAAGAAATCAATCATGCTTCTCACACTGTGTCACACGTGAGCGCAGGTGTTTTAAGGACATACAGAGTCAAGATAGGAGACATACTGCACTATATCTGCATCGACTGCGCGCGCACACATAGAACTGGATGGAAAATCCCGCACCAGCCCCCACTTCTACTCGTAACTCTAATTGAAGCCTCATGCCAGCAATTGCTGCATTTGCTTTTATAGCCCAAATTCAGCAAATGATTTTAATGAGAGGGTGGCAAAGGGTGAGTGATGCTGGAGATTTAAACTACTGTTTCAGTGGCCACTTGATTTAAAACAAATGTTTGCATTTAGCTTATCGCTGAGCAGACAGAAATCTTTTAAACAAAGTTAAACAAGACGGCTTGAGTACATCACACAAGCTTTTGCGACTAGCCTCTCCCTAACTTCAACCTGTGATAGAGACACTGAGTTTTTATATCGCCATACCATCCCAGAAAAAAGTTCCAAGTAACTGTAAATGCCCTTTGATACTCCATGGCCAATGTCTGTAAAATCAGTCTGGCGAATCAACCTCAAAGAAGCTAAATTACTGTTTTGAGGAGGCTGGTGGAACATGAAGCTCATTTGCCTCGGGGCAGTGTGTCTGGGGAGGGTTCCACTCCGGCTCCAGTGGTCTACAGTTAGTTGGGGAGTCTTCAGACTGATGTGGCGAGCTGCATGTGATCAGTGCCACTTTAATTTTAGTCTAGTCATCATGTGGTGGTAACCAAGCTGAGTGATGCCAGCCTGGCAGGAGGAACATGGATGGGAGAGACCTGTTTGGTCGCTGCTATTTAAAGCCTTTTTCAGAGTGCAGGTTGAATTGCAGATTTGTCTTAACAGAGCGTTATATTAGTAGTTTGCATTCCTGTACATCACTGAATAAATGTACAGATTTATTAACTCATGTCAAGTCAGGTCTAAAACTGCTTATTCTGCTTCAGCGATCTCGAACTCGACTCTTTGAAACAGCGGATTTCCCCTTTACTGCTTTGAATAGCAGAGCACAGTTCAGAGCGTGAAAGCTCTTTCATGATGGCTCTTTGATTCTGACTTGTTTGAAGATAAATTTTTTTGTCAAGTGTAATTAGTCTTGTTCTCCACCTACACTGTCGATATCTTACGGATTATAGATGTTGAATGTGTCCTCCCTTTTCTAAGTAATCAAACAATTTTCCTGGTTTGCTGTCTTGCGAATCTTCTCTTCTAACCATGCTTGCCTGTTTTCTGCACATCAGTGGTGCATGGTAACCACAGACTGCATAAAACTTGCATGTAATTTCAGCAGTGCCATCCATTGGTTTCCAAAGAGGCTTTATGAGGCCCAAACAAAGCAACTGTAAACATGAAAATGCTGTCTTCAGCTAAACCCTACCTGTCGCTGTAATCAGAGATACCCTAATTGTTAAATAGGGGGGGGGGGGGGACAACTAATGACTTCATGTAATTCAAAACAGATGAGTTATTTTTGCAATAAACAAACAAAAAAAGTAGTAAATGAATAAAAACAGGTTTTAAAATTCTCTATTCATTGCTCTTTGAGTCCCCCACACACGTTTGTGCACAACTTTATCTCTGTTATTGTCAAAGTTAGCAGAAAGTTTTAAAGAAATAGTAGAAAGAGACAAAGTTGTATGCTTGTGCTGCAGTTTTTGCCTTTCAACACTACAAGTAACTAAATAACTTAGTTACTATAGGGTGACCATAAGTCCTCTTGTATCCTGACATGTCCTCTTTTTCGGGGCTGTCTGGGGAAGTTTATAAAATCCTTCAAATGTCCATGATTTTGTACATAAGTTTCAATTTTGTGTGAGTTAGAAGTGCGTAAAAGACACTCGTTCTGCCCCGAAAAACTCTCAAAATTAACTCTGTGCGACTCCGTGACTCCACCCCCACGTAGTTGTGTCCTCTTTCTGGGAAGTCAGAATATGGTCCCCCTAAGTAACTAGTATCTAAACTAGATTGAGCACCAGCTGCATGATGTAAATGCAATACTCACAGCCTCTTGCAGATATTCTGATTGAAGCCAAAGTTAAAAAATCAGCCGTTTGTGCAGCTGACTTTGGGATATTTTCAAGGGCTTTTTGCAGTTTGTATTCACACATGCAAAGAATAATTTCAGGAGTGTGGCACATGTGTGGAAGGGGTTAAAGATTTCAAGAGAGAGTCGTGGATCACACTGACCCGAGAAGAACCTCTGGCTCAGCAAAAACCCTGAAAGCAGGAGGAACAGCTGGTCTGAATCTGTCAGCAGCTTCAAAAACTGCCTGCCACCATCATTAATTATGTGTTGTACCAAGTCTATTTAATCTGAAAACAGCTTGTGGGGGTACTTAACATTTCCATGCTGTGTCACTGTGTCCCATCTAAAAATGGTTCCAGTCAAAGGCAAGCAAATGAGTGTAATTTTAGAGATGTCACACTATTCCTTTAAATTTCCTCCTCGCCCACCTTCCTTCCGCTGTCAGGAGGCCATCAGATGACGAGTGGCAGGGACAGAGTGTGGGTGCCTTTGACCCAGAGTGATAGTTACTTACATAATGACTGGTGTCTGCAGCGTGAGTGGGAGGGCAGCAGCTGACCATGAAGTAGCACGGTCAGAGTCAGGTTATAATTAGCACCTTTTGTCAGGTCAGAGTGGAAGGAGAAGGAAACATGGCTGCAATCTAATCAGCTTTCCATCAGGGAGGAGGTGGAAGAAGGAGGAGGACTGAATATATAGAAGGCACGATTACTAACTGGTTACACGCACCACACAGAGGCACATAGATCCTCTCCAGTGGGAGTCAACAGGCAACGAGAAGCAGGCAAAGAACAGCCCTGTTTTCTATGGTTGACTTAAGTGGATGTTACTTAACAGGACAACATCTATCTTTGTTTTGAACATCATCTTAAAAAGTTCTTTCCCTTCTCTCTGCTTTGCTGTTAAAGTTTAACCATGAACTACTTGACTGGTGTAGTTGTAGTTGACCAACATCCTTCTTGAACCAGGAGTTTAAATAAATGAAACCCCAGAGGTGACAGAAATCAGCGTGTTCAATTCTTTATACAGAGTTATGAAACTAACTTTTCCATTTTTGTCAGTGAAAAGATTAAATTTTCCCCATTTAAAATCAATTCATGAGATCTTTTTTCAATCAGCTCATCATGCCACTCAACAACGAATCAAAAATCATGAAATCAGGAGCATAAGAGGCACCTTTTGTTACCTAAATAGTGAGCTGTGTCCTTCACACCACCGTGACCAATGTTGTCCAAGAAGGGGAAAAGAAAGAGTTTTCTGTTTTCGATGGGGCTGCTCACCCAAACTAGGCCTCAGTTAGAGCAGCTACTCCAATGATTTGACATGAATTAAGATATTTTGAGCTGCGAAAGTAACACATTTGTTTTTGCTAGAGGGAAAACATTAGGCTAAGCTTGACAAAAACACTACCTCTGTCTTCAAGGCTCCAAAGGCACAGATAAAAAGCTAACAAACATATGCCTCATTTCCATCATGTAGTACGACTTGAGATAATTAAACTTGCTTTTCTCTGGACCAGTTTACTATATTTTTTCCTATTTAAAAGCATGTGGGAAGAACCTATGACTTGGTTTAATTAAAGTTTGTACCAGCTTAGCAAAGTGAGTTTATGCAGAGCAATGGTAGACCAATATTCGGCTACTAAAATAGTTTTGTCAGTAATATAAACAGACAGCTGAAGGGGAGGCTATGTCGAGTACCTTTTTTCCAAATTGGGGTATGAAAAACAGATTTTTAGACCTTCTGACAAGCTCATCTATTTGTGCGTACTAGCCCTTTAAAGTCCACACTGGTGGACTGATGGGTACATTTTCCACTTGGGTAAAATTTAAGCTTGCTTCACATCCTGAGCCTTGATCGTAGTTGTTTAACTCCAGAAACCCATATCATTTGGTCAACCACATAGAGTCAAATGTAATTTGTGCTTTTGTCTCATTGTTTATGGTTGAAGATTGTAATCACCACATAATTTGTTAGTTCAACATATCATCGGCATGTTACAGTCTGTGCTCATTTCAACTTTTACAGGACTGTTTTGGAGACTGAAGTGTTATCTTCCCCTTTCCTCCTCCGTATCTGTCCTTGGCTCTCGCTCGCTCTGTATTTGTTACAAAAAATCCTCTCTTACACTCTATCTGCTTCACCCTCCACCAGCATAGTGATTGATGTTATCTGAGCCAGAGCAGCGAAAGTGCTGCAGAAGTTACATCGTGCACAGACAGTTTGCCTGGCTCAGTGCCCTCAAACCAGAATAGAGCTACGAGTGTGATTACAACACTCCCGCTCTGTGTGTGTTTTGGAAAGTATACTTTCAGTGAGTGTGTGATTACGTGTGTAGAAGTGGCCAACTACAGGACCTGTCTTTGTAAAGTTTTCTCAGAGCGATTGGACGTCAGCCAAGTGTCTTAAAATTTAGGAGTACTGGATAACACCCTGACACTTAGTGGGAGGATGTATGTCTTAAATGTGTGTGTCAGTGTTTCTTTATCAGGTAGAGGAAGAAGAAGCGTGAAGATGTTCATGGTTAGTGGCAACAAAAAAAAGAGACTCTCCTTTTTAAAAATGCAGCTTAACAGGTTGTTTGTCTGTTCAGCTCATTGCGAGTAATGTTAAGCTTCAGCGTTTGGGTGGTGATTTGAAACTTCATATAACAGGATAGAGTCCACACACAGTAGGTTTAAGTCTAGTGTGGATGCAAGAGTGGAAGGATTGCCTTCCAGATTAAGGCCACGTCCACACGTAGCCAGGTATCTGCTAAAATGAATATATTTTTGTAGTCTGAGGAGCCACACACAAACCTCAACCAAAACGCTACTCTATAGCCACAACTAATGCTCAGAACAGCACCTAACTTCATCGACAGTACATATAGGGTCCCAGCCATAGTACTAGCCACCAAACATCTTTTTAGCTTTGCCTGATTTCTTTAGCAAAGAGACTAAACACAACTCACCTACTCTCTTCCAGCAGCCGCTTGTTTGGAGCGAGACCTCAGGTCAGTTCATTACAGACTACAGCGGGGTGGGTGACACAGCTCAAAGAAAAACATTTATGATCATTTCTTCATGGAAATTCAATCAGACCGAGACACTAAGGCAGAAGAACTACCGTGTCTGCGGTGCAAAATTATTAATATGGTGATTATTACTTAAAGGAAATGATAAAGTAATCGCTGTGTATTGCTATCGTGCAGTTGTTACTAAAGTGGGTATAACTAGAGAAGCAAGCAGTCGGCAACATTCATCTCTCGAGGGGGTTTCTAACTCGGTGCTATGGTGTGTTTGACCCTAAATTAATTTTACGCTGGAATATCCCTTGAAAAGCAATTTCACCTCTTTGTCGAACGAATTACACAGCGCTATGTTTCATGTTTGGAGAATTGTCTACGAGAAAAGGTTGGGAAAAGTTCTGATTGGATAGAATGGGTCTAACTTTTGGCAAATACTACCAACTCCAGGTCTGGCATGCTTATAACTGTGGTCAAAAGCACAGTTATACGGTTTTGTGTGGATGGGATTTTATTTGAAAACAATTATATGTGTAAATGATTTTTTTTTTTTTTTTTAAATGGAGAAGGTTGGATATTCGTTTAGAAAAATACCCGGCTACATGTGCACATGGCCTCAGTCCTAACACAGCGATGAGTTTTACCGAGACATTACTTTGTTTTTATTACCTTAACTGTCTGCTGAGAGCTCCAACACAAAGGCTAAGTAAAGATCAGGGAATATCCTGACTCATTGCTGACACACTCTTCCTCACAGCGTACCAGCTACTGACCGACACAGAAGCTATCTCCTAAATCCTCCCACTCGCACACCTGCAGACTGACTCCTACAGAGAGAGAGAGACATATACAAACACAGACATGCACTCTCACGAACACACCCACACCCCAGCCTACCCAAAACCCTTCATTACCAGACTGACCCCTGCCCTCAAGGCCTGTGGGTATGTGGAGCAGTAGAGGCATGTCTGGACGTCTGGATGCTGCTCACAGTGTGATTCACTCGCAGAGCTCCTGGAGGGGAAACGCCAAGATGATTGTCCTCTGACTTCACTCACTGTTTAGTTTAAGGGGCTTTGTTTGGGCTCAGATGTGTGAAACAGCTGCAGATGAAAGGATAACTGAGGTAATGTCCAGATTTTCACTGTAAAAATGTCTAATTTATTGTCAGAGATGAGATGTGCTTGGGTTGTAGGGGAGTGGTTTCAGATATGGTTGAGACAGACAAGTCCTGTGATGATTAAACAGCTTACATGTGCATTTTTTTAAGCCAAACTTGTTAAATTTGGGTAAAATTAAAAATACAAACTGTGGTCATGCAGCTTCAGTAAAATTTACAAACTTCTTGTGGTGACATGTTTAACAGCTGTAGTTCACAACCTTTTTGGCCTCTGACCTCTGGAAATGATCAAAGTTTTTTGCGACCCCCTTTCACAGCTGACAACCTCAGTGTGGACACTGATTTTAAGAGTGAGCAGTGATTTTATCTCTTCAGGACTGTGTTATTTTGAGGGATTTGACCCTAATCCTTTACTTCTTTTAAATGTAGAGGCCAGGTGATGCAAATTTATTCATTTAATGACCTGAAAAAAAATCAAGTTGGAGAAAACTGGGATTATTTAGCATTTCTTTGTTACAAACCCTAACTATACCTTACTTCTCTGCACACTCTGTATTTTTATTTTATAGGTTAACACAAAGTTGTTCTGCTCAATGCTGCCAGATACTACATAGTGCATCTTTAAGGTGATTAAATTTCAACAGAAAAATACTAAAATCTATATGTCTTTGAAAACAGTTTTGTAATTGCAGTAGCTTAGCCTGGAGGGACTTGGCTTAGGTTAACAAAATCCGGTTCGATGATTTTCCTACGTGTGTGTAGTCCTGCCAATATCAGGATGACACCCATCCACTATAAATCACTTTAAACAGCCCAAAATATCACATTATAAAAACAGATACCCCACATACATTTATTTTGATACTAACCGATGAATCTGCACATCTAAATCTGTGTAGCATGAAAGGTGGCATTCACTCTTCTTCTTCTGCATCACAACATGTTCTGGCAGGCAGATTCATGAAGTCGGAACAAGACAACACTAAGAATTCAGCTGTGAGGGAGGAATTTCAAGAGAATAAAGGTGTGAAGGGACAGGGATCTTTACACAACATCTATACCTGCTAAAGTTTGTAATAGAATAGGTGTGGGAATTTAGTATGAGTGCATCACACATCACTGTGACAGAGGTAAACTCATAAGATGAATGACACAAAGTCCCTTTCACTTCAAAGTCTTAAATAATGCCGTGTGGTGCAAAAAACTTTAATTCTTGTTTGTTATGACTGAATAGATCTCAGAAATATGTTAATGGATGTGGCAGATGATTTCAAACAAGATCCAATGACTTAACAATGCTTAATCCAGAATTATGGGTTTTTCAACCTGAAGAAGCGACCCACACGATCATTCAGACCATAAACCAACACGTATTTTAGAAAGGCGGTAGAACTATGTTGATAAATCCTTAACAAAGCTGAATAACTGTGAAACAGCAAAGACAAATGTCACACAATAACACAGATCCTACTAAAGTTATTCCTATTAATGTAAACAGACTGGTGTGCTCAACACTTCGCCCACATGTCACTCTTTTAGGTTTGCACCAGTTGCATGCATATCATAATCTCCACCCACTGACATAACGAACTCCAACTTTGTCATCACACTTGTCTAAAGCAACTTCTTGCAGAAATTAACTGGAGAGATAGCAGCTAAAGCTAAAGACTCTAGAAAGCTTTCTTAGCTCACCCTGAAAATTGAGAATGAATGCAGAAGTGAACACAGTTTGTGAGTTAGTGTAAACACCTTTGACGATGAGTTTTGCTCACTTACAGACTGGTCATGTGTTGCACTAACCCTGTGTCTTACAATAACAGGTTTCAGAGAGTCATAGAGGGTTGATTTCTCCTTGTGCTTTAGTGACTTGTCAAGTTAACTAAATCAAAGAGAAGACAGAAGGAGTGACTTTATAGATATTTAAAGGCTGTTTTCTGTCAAGAAACTCAACTTTACCCTTAATTAAATAACTGACAGTAAGTTGTGGTTTCCTAGACCCAGTAGTATATAGGAGCCTCTGGTTTACCAAAGGCTTCTCATTAGCCCACTCCCAATCATTTGACTGGGTTTGCTCTCAGCTGATGAATGTATGGATGTGTATATGGATAATTAAGCAGACTATAGAACGGTGACTAGATGTCTGCCCACCCGTGGTCGTCTGAGTGCTGCCATTTCAGGGTCTGCTGTCTGCTTTGGGGGGTTATTACTGTGGAAGTGGGGTCAGACTGGTGCGGATAATTGAGGTCCTTGTTGGGGTGGTCACGTTTTTCTAAGTAGGTTTTAAATCGCAGACCCTGACTTTTTAAAGATTCAATAGAAAGGAGACTGATTGTAATTATTTAATAGTCCACTAATTTAGCAGAGTTACAGTCCTCAGCGGTGCTGTAACCTCTGATCCACAGCTGCTCTGCTGCACAGCGTCTCATTTGTTTTCACTGTCGTCTGGGGTCGTGACATTATTAATGATGCTTGCAGGCCTTTAAGAGACATGGGCTGTGTTATGGATTTGCTGTGTTGAAAAGAAAAAAGGTCCCTCTGTGTTTAGAAGCAGTGTTAATGAAAAAAACTGCCTCACTGCTTAATAGGGCCGAGATTTCAATTAAGATGGTTGTCAGGTATGATACTAAACAAGCACAAATGACTTGTGTCTCCACATGGCTTACTTAAATTACGAGTTTATTAACACAATTAAAAGCTGAATGCTGCTTTTCATTTGCAGCAGAGCAGGGCAAGAAGGAATGATGTTGCTGCGATTGGTCAGACAAGCGAGGACTGTTTTTCATTAACAGACCAGCCCGGCACACAGAAAAAAAGCATAAATAACACTTCGTCAGTCTGTTAGGTCAGTTATCAGCTGCTCTCATCCAGGTCATGTGTCTTTAATTACATCACTAAATTATGATTTTTAATACTATTTCAACTTCTGCTTTATCTAATCTTTCTTATTTTTGGTTAGTTTGTTATAATGAGGTGTAAATGTTCTCTTTTGTGATAATTTAAGTCTTGTGTGATGCACTATGAATAGCCCTTTTTGTTAAAATGTGCTAGACGAGCAAACTCGCAATGCCATGCCTATGATGCTGTTATTGCTGGGGAACAGACTGAGTGATTATCATTTTTAGAAGTCTCTGTTTACACGCATTCACTCTGAAATGAAATCAGCATTGCTTTCACTGGAATGTGAACACTACATTTAATCAAGCGCATATTAGTTTAGCTCTGTTCCTAAAATAGCGTCAATTAAAAAAGAGGAAAATGTAACAGGACAGAGCAAAAATGTTTCTAAATGCCTCTTTTAGCTGGGCTGTGTTTGACCAAACATGAAAACCCTTGCTGCTGTGTAACTGATGTAGTTGTGTGTGTGATAACAGGCTAATTACATTCATTACGCTCTGGACACTGGTTCAGAGCCAGCTCCTCTGCTCACACCAGATCGCTCAGCCTATCAAAATAAAGCTCTGAAGCTCTCAGGAGAGTATCTGGGGGCTCCTGCTCAGGTATTTTAAGGTCCTAATGGCACCGTTGAGCTGAGGTATAAAGGCTTGTTGACGTGGTTATCCTGGGTCACCAGGTGTTTATCAAGAGTAAATATGTGTTTGTGTTTGCCGTGTGTGATTTTACGTCCTAACGTCTGCATTTGGGTTGGCATGTTTACTATGTGCGAATGTGCTGCAGACTTCCCTGTGTCTATTCAGCCTGCTTCGTGGGCAGCTTGCGCGCTCACTTTACTGGGATCTGAAAATAGCTCTGGCCTCTGTGTGATTGTGTGTTTATGTGTGACGGACACTTCTAAAAGCAGGGGGGAAAGCTAGCCTGGCAGCTCCAGTTGTCTCAGAGCCAAACCTCTGGCTCACTGTGTGGTTAGCCTACACGACTATACTTAGCGTAGCGTACCCTGTGTGCAGCTATGCGTGTGTAGTTGGGGGGTCTACCAGAAAGAGACAAGGGGGTGCCTGTGTCCACACCTACCCATTAATTCTCTTGGGGTGGGGGCTGCGGCCACCGGTTACAGCTAACCACAGCTAAATTGAGCTGTTAGTAAATTCAGGCCTAGAGCGTATTAGTGGAAGATACGTGTGTTAAACTGGCAGTTTGGTTCGAAAACTGTGTCGAAGTTTTACATTGTGAGTGTGTGCGAATGTAGACTGGGACTGGAATGCACGGCGTGTTTGTATATGGGACCATATTTACAGCCCACTGGGGAAAAGCAGAGTGAATATGGGATGAAGGGACGGTGAAAGAGACTTTAAAGGAAACAAACAGCAACCCAAGATGAATCAGGGATAAAAAATGTCTGCAGCTCTGAAAGCTACACATTCTGTCATCAAATGTATGTTTTTGGTTCGGCATCAAAGGCCTTCACAAACCTCCATTTACGTTTCTTTGAGGACACCAGCCCTTTGATCAGCATACATGTTATTTGAAAGAAAGCAGACATTTTGACATTTTGGATCAAATCAGATCAAACATCGGAGACCAAAAAGGTTCAAAGGACCCAAAAGTTTAGAAGGAAAGAAAAAGAGGTAATGGGAATTACCCACGATTTCACGTCTCGAAAGATCTGTGACGGCATGTCTTTAGGTAGGGGGCTTCATCATTTGAATAAATATCCACTCTGAAGCCTGTGGAAATTTGGCTTGAAGTAGTTAAATATAAATGATTTGAAGTTAAGAGTTTCTTTAGTTTTGAGTCAATCCCAATCTTAAAAACAATGATTATAACTGGTGTGACTACTAACAGCCTAATATTAGGCGTGCCTGTTATTGTGTCTAATGCATTTACCAATATCTAATGTAAACAGCTGGTTAGCTGCTGAAAGTTTTGGGGGGGTTTGTGTGTGAATTGTATAGTTTTCACTTTAAATATCACTGACTGTATAAAAAATGAATGTACTCTTAGTGCAGGGGTGGGCAATTCATTTTTACATGGGGCCACATGAGAAACCTGAACTGTGTTGGAGGGCCAAACCAACAATAACTTCAACTTTAAATCAGGGGGGTTCACACATACAGAAAAGCAAGCCCAAATAAGCAGCTACTAGTTAAAAACAAGCCCAAATAAAAAAAAACAACACACCAGCGACTCATACATTTTTCAAGCAACGAGAAACAAGCATAAAGTCTTTTATAAGTGGACTGAGCAACTATAAGGCGTCTACGTATGTTTTGCCGATGTTTAAACTTGTCTCTGTTCATGAATGCAGATCTAGGATGTACGCACGTGCATCCAAACTGAAATAAAACAACAGCTAGGTTTTCAAAATAAAAGCAACACACTTGTTTAGCATGTTCATGATTTGATTGACAGACCTCACGAAGGGCCGGGCAGGGACATCCAAAGGGCCGGATGTGGCCCTCGTGCCCTAAAATGCCCAGGTCTGTCCTCGTGGCATTGAGTTTTTACACCCAATGATGGTAAGCGCCACACTAGAATTGCTGACTCAGCCAAGCTTTTTATCAACCATCAGACAAGCTGGGAGGTATCGAGCTAAAGCATACTTTTAACTAACAGCTACCTGTTTGTCACCTCAGCTGTGTCCCATTTATGTAAATGTATACCCTTTGTGTTGTCGTACAGATAATCTAAGAGTAATTCCACCAAAACACACCAAATTCTGCTCACTGAACCGGACTGTAACCGTGTTTAATTTTCTGTCTACAGGCATTTTAAAATAGGACCCAAGGGGGATTTCTTTTCTTTTAAAGCCAGCCTCGAGGGAATTTGTGAAAAATTGACATATGGACTATTTTGACACCTTAAAGTCGCTGGTTGATGGATATCCAAGACTAGAAAAAAAACAATCCCAATCCAGTATCCAAAATTTAGTAAGAAATCCTTCAAAGCTCCTCCTTTATTGGTTTATTTATTTTCTTAAACTAATAAAATAAACTACTTTATATCACATTCACATGCTCATTGCTGTGTACACACATTAAGTCCTTTGATTACACACAAAGGCTGTGAAGGTTTCAGGTTTCCTGAGGCTTTGGGATCAAATAAGGTAACTCAGAGAAACCAGGTTTCACAGGTAGGCACTTATTTCCGTGCACCTACGTGACCTCCTACTGTAACTGTGAAGCAATAACCACATGCAATTAGTTGATATCAAATTTCTCTCAGATCTAATTTCAAACATGATGTGATTATACAGATTTAGAAGGTTTAATGAGGATTTTATTTTAACACCTAATTTTAAGCAAAATGGTGTCCACACCAATATTCAACTTTAAAACTACAGTGAGCTGTAGGAGCTGGAAGATGACAGTTCATCTCTTTTCCCCCCCAAACCTAACTGTATGCACATTAAATACTAGATTTTATAGAGGTAAGTTGATAAGTATGAGCTCACCTCTCACTGTAAAATCATCAGTTTAACACACAAGGCTTTAAATACTTGTGTTCAAGTGGATCCCATAAGCAGGATACCTGAGTGTAAAGAAAACAGAGAAATATGGAGAAAGGTGAGACTGGGTGTAGCACTAAATGTTCACAGCTGGGGTTAAGTAAAGGTCTCTGACGCTATCAGCTCAGCCTTAAAGTTGATATTTGGGTTCGTCTCAGGGCCTGGTGACAAGGAATCTAACTCATCAGGTATGTGTGTTTTGTGTCCGTGGGAGTAAGTGTGTATGAGGACAATGGCTGCTGCCTAAATGCCTGCTCTAAGGTACAAAATGTTCTGGGTCAGGAGAGCTGGCACTACATCAAGTCCCTGGACTGGAGTAACCTCAGTCTCACTCCTCTGGCTTCCATTAACTCACAGTCCAACTGTAACCCCCACTGAGTTGCGCAAGAACACACTGTAACGCACAATCAACCTTGACTCTTGGTATGCTACTATTTTTTCCCCTTATGTTATCTGTGATGACACAATAGCTCAGTTCAAGAACAAAACATCCTCATATATCAAGTTTAATGTCCAGGTGGGGACGCTGTACTAACTACAGTACGGTAACTGGGACCAACATGAACTTTTAATGCACCACAGACAAACACACTCGTATAATATTTGTCCACCTTTTCTCAGTTGTTGAAATTTCTTTTACCTGATGTTTTCCTCTCTAATGCTCATCCATCTGGTTTAGGGAACACTCACACGAGACATCTGAACTTTGACCACTTTGTTATTGGTGTCTAGTATTGCTGCTGAGGGAGGAAGTGAGTGTTATTGCTTTGTCTCACATATTGTTCTGCAATTTCTCAACCCAAACAATAGAGTCAGGATACTCTCACCTTCCAGTAAACACGACATTTAAGAGCTCTGTCAAAGCTTTTCCTTGAGAAGGCTTTGACAGAGCTTTGACAAACCCTGGAATAATATTTTTCTTTCCTTTTTTCCTTTGTTACTCAGAAGGATATCAAGACTTCAAAGGTCGTTTGGAGATTCAAATCTTTTTAAAAAATCATTTTAAAGAAAGGGAACTGTAGAAATAGCAGAAAAATAACACTCAGGATCAATTATTAGTGTTTTCCTTTGATTTTTCCTTTTTACCTCACTTTAGAAGGAAAGTGATTCAGTAAGCCAAATCTGCAATGATTTTTATGACCTTTTTTCTTTTACAACATTTTGTTAAAAGCCCAAAAAATAAAAAATAATTAACTATTCAGTTGCTTAATATGTGCTGGATTTTGTAGCTGACAGGTTCAATTTTTTTAAAGAGATGGTGTAACATCTTGAGGAAGTAGATGTAAAGTGAAAAAGTATATAATGAATACAACTTTTAAATCCTCTCAGTCATTGGTCAAGTGTGGAACTGAACAAAAAATTGCATCATTAAAACAGAATCGTAACTGTACTGCAACAGGTGAATGTTGAGTACTGTTGGTCAAACAACATAAAAAAACAGCCACCTGGATGAAAAATTCTCTCTCTGCACTTCAAAACATTTCTGAAAATTTTCAGGAGCCTCGCCCTGGAAAATTTCCAAGTTGCTAGTTAATTCATGTCCCTCATAGTGTGAATTCTTCCCTGTTGGACAAGGAGGATGGTGATCATTAACCCCACCCAAACGCTTCTGGTATGTTTTCCTAAATAAAATACTTCCTGCATTGGTTTGTCCTGAAATGTTTCAAGAGGGCTGGCAGGAAAAAGTCAGGTCAAAGTCAGGATCAAACGTTCAGCAGTTCGTGTTTACACAAGCAGCCCTCGCTGAAATTTCAGGCAGTTTTTGCCTCTGATCTAATTGGACATAGTATGTTAAACTAGTTTTATCACCCCTCTTTGATAATACAAGATAATAATACTGTTAAATGTTTTTGCTAATGTAAAGCTTATATTGCTTTTGTGCCTGTCTTTTCTAAAACCAAGCAGCCACTGAAATCATTAATAAATTAAAATACAAAGTGATCCTTTTTATACACGCTACCTTGAATCTCCACAGTATGAGAGTCAGGATTCAGCTTGTGAAGCCCTTACTGAACTTTGGGGCCAAATGATTTAAGACGTTGGCACAGGGTACTTCATGAGACTTTAGTGTACTACAAATCTAAAATAATAAATGTTTAAGACTCATTTGGCATCCCAGGGAGATTTGTGACTTCTGCTGTTACTGAGGTCCACAGAAACAGGGAAGGGTTTGTGGAGCAGCAAAGGGCTATTTAATAATCACCCATTTTGCACCGGTGGGGTTTGGGGTGATCATTTTATAACGTTATGATTGGCGGCCAGAGCTGTGGAATTCGTGAATGTTCCTCTTGTTTCAGGCAGAAGAGAGCTGGAGCGGGGAGGGTTTGACTGCTGTGATGGATGTTGAGGTCTGGAAGGTCCTGTGGTCCGAGTAAAACCCCTTCCCCTTCCTCCTTTGCCTTCAAACTTCCATAGTAAAAAAGGGTTTGGCGCATTCTTTAGGCTGAAGAAAGTTCAGTCACAGGAAACCAGAAAGTCTTCTGACTCCGTGCGGTTCCTACTTATTGTTTCAACCAGCAGGAAAGCACTGATTATCACCACTGAACTGTTTTCACTTCACTCGCTGTTTTCCTCTCATACCTACGGTGGTTGTTTGCATGTAAGTGACTGGATAATGTGTGTGTAAGTGTGTAACTCAGCCATGCTCCCTGTGTGCATGTGCACTTAAGAGAATTTGACTCATCTAGGCACTTGAGCTGTAATCTGATGAGGGCTGAGAAAAGCATAGAAACAAAAATGTTCTGTAAAAGATAATGTATAGTGAGCAGGTGATCATGCAAATTAGAATCTTTAAAGGTTTAGCTTGACTCTTATAGGGATTCTAATTTACATAACCACCTGTTCACTATACATTTATATGCAGAGTTAGATTTAGATAAGGTAATAGCTCGATCAGGCAGTTTAACTGGACTGCCAACACAAACACCAGAATGGAATTATTGTTGACAAAAGTACGTCTTCCTTTTGGTATTGTAGGTGATGATACGCCTCTTTTCAGCTGGTAACTTTTAGACCTTCTCTTGTTGACTGACATCACATTTTAGAGCATTTCATTAACAAGTCTATTTCAAGTAATTTACTTTTTTTACTTCAAATGATCCATAGTAACACAGAACATTGAATGGTCTCCTTATTGTAAGTGTGCTCTAAAATCTAAGGCTTTGGTAGGGGAGTTAAAACACCACAGTGCATACTCAAATAAAGATTTCACCCGGCATCGACACATGAGTTAGATTACCAAGACTTTGGGAAAAGGATCTAAATTTAATGGCACACTGCAACTCTGGTAAAATTCGGTAGAACCATATGAGGTGTTTAGTTTTCAAAGCCCCGTGGTCCATATATGTTACTGTAACTGGATGTAACAAGCTGTAGCATCAAATAAGCAAGGACCATCTTATTAAGTTGTATCAGCAACTTGGCTTGAATAGCCATATTTAGTCATATTTATACAGCTTAAAGAAGTAAAAATGTTTTTCTTTGTATGTTGAAATCACAAAATTTCAAAACATTGTACCTAACCTAAAATTAGGGGCGAATATACGGATGTTTCAAGTAATTGGATCTTTAATGCTGGAGTTATGAACACCTGAGACCACAAAATTATCTTTACCAGTGGAATCTTATAATGCAGCTGACTTGATCAATTTTATTTTGAAAGATCATGAATCATTTTCCTTTTTTTAACCATAAGATGGTATAGAGAAAACTGTTTTTTATCTCAGATTTGGCTGTTTCTGGCATTGATGTCTGATGTTCATCTCCTGAAAGCATCCCCAGCCAGGGGGATCACAGAGGTCCCACTGAGGGTTTATTCCCAGATGGAAAAACTGTAACTGTTCATCACTGTGGCTCTCTGCCTGCACTCAGCAGCCACTGCAGCCAGGTGGGATGCAAGCCGCCGTCCTGTGCAGACGCAGAGCTGCCTCGGCCTGCTGTGCAGCACCAGGCTGCTGCGGAATTTTCATTATTTTCAAAGAGGCTGCTCTTCTTGGGTGGTCTTCGCCATGTGTCGGCCCCCAGTATGTGTAAATATGTGTGCATCTGTGCGTGTATGTGTTAAGGAGTTTGTGTCGTGTTGCTTGCAAGTTTTGTGAATAAATTTTGTCCGTGTGGCTTTGCAAGTGTGTGTTTTTGCCCCAGAACTGCACAAGTCACGGATTTCCTTCCCACGTAATTAGCCATGGCTGCATTTTACGAGGGTGATAATCTGAACTGGGCAGCAGCCAAGTAGTTAGGAGACAGCTAAATACAGTTGGTGTCCACAGCGTTTTTCAGTAGAAACAAAAGTATTCATCTGAAATCTAGGTAATATGTCAACTGTTTTCATGGATACAAAAAAGGAACAAACATCTTGGACAGCGAAAGTGGTGACCCCTGACTTCCTCTCTGTAAATGTCTGAGGGACCTTTATCAGGCAGAAATGACTGGGTTTCATAAATTGGGTGTACATGTGTCAGGCAATCATCAAAAAGAGGTTAAATTTGCCTATTTCTTTCAAATTCATTACTTAGCAGATTATAACACTACACTTTGCTATGCCCCATCCCATGCCAATTCAGCACTTTGTAGGCAGATCAAAAATTGTGAGTCTGCACTTATGTGGTCAGGTCTCTGCAGTCTGTTTGGTAAATTAGATTCAACTTCAAAGTCCAGTTTGAAGTTTCTTCAAAAGTAAAATTCCCACATGAAGTCTAAACTAATTTCAGCGTAGCATGTTTTTTCCTCGGCTTTTCTCATCCAGGGATCCGTGGTCAAATTTGGGGGATTAAAAATAGAGACTTTGAAAATAGAGATTAGCAACTTAAATTTCACATTTTATGACTTTTTGAAGCACAGCAATAATTGACAGGAGGTTAACCTTGCTAATCTCATTTTGATTATGTTTAGGCACTGAAACCACTGAATTTGGGCACCATAGTTATTAACTTATAAATGCTTGTCATGTAATAAATGTACACCCCATGGCCACCATCACCTCTGGGCCTTCAGCAACTGAAGGGGTAAGCAAGGGGCTGTTTCAATCTAGAAACTACCTACCATTAATAAAATATATATATATATCTACACACTGTACTTTAAAAAAGTTATGAACTCTTTGTTTCATCAGTTATTGAGCCCCAGTCCCCTGAATCAAAGTTCTTTCTTCTTTCAATTCATACATTACCCACAACTGCTAAAAAAACAAGGTTAGGAAATTACACAAGTATATTTTGGAGCATCTTATTCATGAAAATGTCCAAAATGTGTCTTTACAGGACAAGAAATTTTGAACACCACTCTTTATTTATTCTGTCTCTCCAATAGATAAACCAAGAGAGCTAGATGAGATGTGTTGAGTCATCTTTGCTGGTAATTTGTCCCAGTGGCCTCATTTTTTTCCAATGCAAGCACCATTGTACAGTAGCGGACATATCAGTAAATCTGTTGGGGCTAGAAAGCTAGTTTTATGTGCATGACATCATCTGACTGGAGGGTGTATGGGCCAGAGGTAATGGAAAGAAAAAATAACACACATGAGCAGTTTGATGATAAACGCTGGGTTGGCAACTTTAGTGCACCCTTGGGGTCCAGGATTCAGTTCTCGTGATTAATCTCTTCTGTCGTTACTTGTGTGATATCATAATTAGCAAAATGGTACCATCTGCAGGTTTTGGTTTCATGTACTCTACCCTACTTGTGCAATTGGACAAGTGATACAAATATACATGTTTGTGGTTTAAAAACCTCTTTTGCCATGACAAGATGGAGCAAAGTGAACCATGAAATACTGAAATTTGATTCTTTGATTCGTCCTCTCCAAAATGGTTTTTCCATTGTTTTGGCCAGTTCCGCAAAAACAGGGAAAGCAGCCAAGAACTGAGCCAAAAGAGCCAACTGTTCATCCCAGTCTGGCTGCAAATCTTTTTTAAAGTACACACCAGCTGTATGTGCTATCATACTATTATCTAAATTCCAGTGTAGCACAATAATCACACAGAGAAACCGCAACCAATTTTCTTGTCGTGTCTTGACGCTTTGCCAAGTTACCAAAATACTGCACAGTCAAGCTGGGGGATAACTCAGTAAGTAGTTGGATAGAAGAGCTGAGTACCTCGGAAACCATTATATTTTCACAAATATAATTACAACTGATATATTTTGTATCTTGAACCTGTGACACAGGAGCTTCAAGTGAGGAATGGCTTTTATACAGTAAATCTCCAATGCACAGTCTGGCCTCCTTTTCCACTGTTTCATATCATATCACATTGTGTTGGCATCAGTTTATAACATTTTGTATCATAACCTATCATAGCATGTTGTATTGTTTAATGACAAATTGAAACATTATGATGGTACTGCATTACACCATTGTATTATACCATACTGTATCACATCATATTGTAATGTATTGTGACATACTTGCATTATGTAAAACAGACTGAATCATATGGTACCATATTACACGATATGGTAACATAACATGATGCATTAAAATGTACCATTGTGGAATATATCGTATTATATCATATCCTTATTGTAATTAATCATATTGTTTGTTACTGCATTATAATGTACTGTATTGTATTGTAATGTATTGTACTAGCTTACTGCTCTGTATCATAACATATAGTACTGTAACTGTATATCATATCATATTGTTTTATATTGCACCCCATCATTTCATATCATATCGTATCATATTATATCATATTTTATCATATCGTATCGTATTATATCATCATATCATATCATATCATATCATGTATTGGACCATTACAAATTTTATTGTATTGGAGTGTAAATTCATATGAGACAGCTACCTTTAAACGCCAATCATTTCATTGTCAGGTAAGACTTGTCAACCTGTGAAACTTTTTGAAATGACACCCAATTCTATGTTTTGTTTTTTTTTTTTTCACATTATTTAGCAAAATAAAGAAACATACAGGCTGCCTCTATTTTTATAAATTAATTTACCTAAATGTAAGTTTAAGAGTGTGCGTGTGTCAGTGAGGTAGTTTGTCTGTGTTTGTGTGAACTTGCCTTTTTCTCTTCCCCACTGACAGGAACAATAAGCTTGCGGTGAGGTCCTGAGGTGCAGCCAAAGCTGGAAACAATGCAAGGGGCGTCGCGTGCCTCAGCAGGAGGTGGTTCATGCCCGGGTCCACGCCAGGGAAGAACATCAAGAGTCAGCACCAGGATCAGGTGAAATGCCGGGCATGCCACAGTCCCATCTGGCTTCCTGCAATGGAAACCAAGAGAAAGAGAAAAGAGGAGGGTTATGTTCACCTTCCTGCTGGGGGGTTGTCTGGGCTCGTATAGACAGAGATGAGCAGCACTGACTGGGCCTGAGACTTAAAAATCTTATTCTGACTTTGACTGGAGGGAAGGGGGTAAAAGACCAAGGCCATACAAGGCCGTAATACTGTATGTACTCTCTTAGAACAACGTCGAACAACATGTCCTCAGACGGATTGATAAGTGTGTAATAAATAACTTTTGTCTCCTCTCAGGGGAGTCTGTACATACAATGTTTGACATCTTTGCTTTTACTTATATGTCAGGCTCAGGCTTCTCACCCTGAATGACACATAAATCCCCTGCAAAGAAGTTTTAGACTTATCTCCTCCAAGGTTTGCGTATATTTAACTCAGTATGATTCAATAGACCATCTACAAGTTGATCTGTTTTAACTTTCTTTTTTCACAGAATAGCAGCATTGTGGAAAAATCCATACTGATCTACAATAAAGACTAGAAATGCTGGAGTGAGCATCTCAGGCCCATAATTGGCTTTAAAATTGTGTAATGGAGCTTAAGTGGAGAGCACTATGTGGGTACAAACAAATAAGAATACAACAGTGAGCCCAATATCTACACTTTGCAGGAGAACAGTCCAATTATGACAAGTCTGCAAGTAAATACACAGCTCAGTAGTCTGTATTGTATTAATGTCCTACTATAGTACTGTTTAACTGGGAACATAATACACATGTGCAAATAGAGCTGTGAAGTTGCTATTGTCTGAGGATCACATATTGATGGTTTACAAAGCAACAGAAAGGCTGGCATTTGCAAAAGAAACTGGAACCTAGTTTTAGAAGTTTGCATTCTGTGCCGCCCCAAACGTCATTAACGTGTAAAGGAACAGCCAAAGCGCTTTAGTTTTCCTCTGATTTTGTTTCCATGGAAATTGCATGAATAAGTTGCTTGGTAACCAAGTCGTAAACAAAACCTCAACAGAGGAAGATAGGGTGTAAAAAAGACTTAACTTTCCTGTTGTACAAACAAATCATACAGAGCTGTAAAAGTGATTTTATTGTTTGACATACCACCATTAGCCTCTTGCTAACACATTTTGCCAATTTTTTGATCTGTAAGACATTGACTAGGAAATAACCTGACGGTAGCAGGCTAAAAGGGAGCATGTCACCACCTACTGCAGCTGGGGGGACATGCTTCTGTCAATAACAGGATTTTCATCCAAAGCGTGTAAACATAGACAGAAGTCCAGTTTAAATTGTGACTACAGCTGCTATACATAACCAAATGTTATGAGGCCTTTTCTCAAAAGATTGTTGATGCTGTTATTTTGTATTAAGTGTCTCCTTTCCTTACATCACTCATTACTCTTTTTTTTTAATCACTTTTTGAATTTTGTTGCCAGGAAGTTACAGTAAATGCAAATGTGATCTAATGGCCCAGACAGTTCAGAATAATCAAGCTGGAAAACCCTTCAAGGATGCACTTTCAAAAGCAGGTGCAAAAGTCCAAGACAAATGGGAAAAATCGGCAATTCTCTGCAAAGAAAGAAAAAAGAAAAAAAACTGCAAAAGACTAAAACAAACACGTTAACATCAACTACACTGCAAATCAATAACTGAAGGCAAAGTCAGAAGCTACACATGTCTAAGACAAACACCGCTGTAGGCCTGCATGAGCACTGGTGGAACAGGTTTAGGATTTATGGCAGAGACAGGGAGCCAAAACAGTGAACTTATTGATTAATTGTCGAGTTGTCAGGTCAATATGAATATGTGGATCAGCAGCACAGTAGCTTTCTTTCCAGATTACTTAATTATAATCTATCCTTATACAATCAATGTGGGTCTAACCTGTCTGTTTTTGTTAGAGCCCCCTCATGCTGTAGTTTATTATCCAGCCTGTTGTAGTTTCTCTGATGCTCCCTCTCTCTCTCTTAATCTCTCCCCATATGTCTCTCTTCCTTACAGTGTTACACAATACCTCACTGTATCATGGGGGGATGGGGGTCACTCTTTGCAGCTCACTTGTTTCCCTGTAAACTTTAACGTATACATCCAAACAGTCTTGTGTTGTTAACACACACATGCACACAGACTCGGAGCACACTCACACATACATGAAACCTCACCCATCCCCCGACCACAACTTTGCTGATTTGACACAAACAAGTCAGAGGGAGGCTGAATAAAAAACATGCCTGGACACATCGCTCTGCTCACTTCAACTTTTTGGCTTTGCTTCACATCCCAGATCCCTCAATCATTCACACAGAGGAAGGACAGATTGACGAGAGGAGAATCATTTTGGTTAACATCTTTCACAGTCTCTATCAGCCATGAAGTGTAAATTCTCCAGTTTTTATGAGCACACCTCCTTGTTTGGCAGTCACTCCAGCTTTTCTTTCCTTTGCTCCCATTTTCCCTCTCTGTATCTTTCTCTGTATCAGCCTCCTTGTCTTTCTCAAAGGTGTGAATTTGATTCGAACCATATGTTCAGCCCTGGCCTTGAGACGCAGCCAGTGTTTCATTTTATATAATTCTTAATTCATAGTCCCTGCAGAGAGGATAAAGCAGGACTCCAACACACCTGGAATCACTCTGAGTTTAAAGACAGACAGGTTGTGCCTTTTCAGCCAATACTGCGTTTTTATTTGTGTGAGCAACATATCTCTTTTACCCCTGAATACTACGTACATTAACAGTATTATGTACCAGGGCGTTGAAAAAATATGCAAAACACTTAAAACCTTTTAACTTAAAGCTCCTGTGAGCAACTTTGAGTTTTTGTTGATTTTGGCATCCCTGTGGACAAAACCGTCATTGCTTATTTTGAATAGTACAGGCATTATCGGTTATGACAAAAACATTATCCTGCTGTATTTGAATAGTTAAACAACTTTTATTAAGAATCTTTGCAGGAGGTTAGCGTTCGACTTTACTCCTGCAGGTTACCGATCAAAGAACATACACAGCAATAACAATCCTCTAAAACTAACCCTGCTTGAGCTAAAACACATGGAAACTGTTTCAGTGAAGGTAAAATACGATTTTAGCTGCAGTACATTTAAGTGTTGGCATCTGCTGAGGAGCTTTTCTGAAGTGATTTTAACACCAAACTGGGTTTAGCCGTCCTTCCTATGATTATAATACTAATATCATGGCCGCGAGGGACAGTAATTGATGAATTATCGGATTATTGCCACAGGTGGACTAAGTAGAAACGATGCAGTCTAAGGAAAGAACTGGTTTTAAAGAAAACAGGTTGGCCGGCCTTTTTTCATTTTCTCAATTTGGAAGACAAACATTTGTAAACAGTACTATTAGTGTTCCTGTGTCAGTTGTAAACACTCATTATGGCTTCAAACAGACTTCAAACGTCCTGTCTTAACTGCTGTCTTTGAAGCTGTTCATACATTTCAATATTTGCTCTCTAACATCCAGTTTCTCTTCCAGACTGAGCAAATCTGAGAATTTTTACAAGTTCAGTTGTTATCATAACTGATAAAAATGACTGCAATAGCCCAAAAACCTCGGTCAAACACAATCTTTTCTTTTAAAGCAAATGGAGACTCTGATAATGACTTTCTAAATGTACAAATACTGAATTATTTCTACCGGTTTCATGCGTATGTAGGCATATTCATTCATTTCTGTGGGGATCACTGTGATACATGATGTGAAACTCCTTCCCCGCCACAACTTTGGTCCATAATCTGCCTCTGGTGAATTCAGAAAATGCTAATTTAGTGGACGATTTTAAGAAGAGTGAATGATAGTGGGCTAGCTTAACTTCGTGCTGTTAACTAACAATCAGGCTGTTTCCCTCAATTCAGTCGCTTATCTTGATGGCTGATTATAAAAAAACTGCTTCCTGCACATATTCCAAAGTGATGGTGAAAAACGAACAAAATTAGTATTCTTACAATAGCTATAGATAGTTTCTACTGGGTTTCTATCATGTGTAAATAAGGCACTTTGACAAGAGGCATTATCAGTATATTTACATTTCAGACAGTGCAGTGGATGTTAAAAATGCAGATGGTTGCTTAGACCTGTATAACTGTGAGAAATCTTTATTTATGGGATTTTTGGGGTCAAAGAGTCAGCTAGAATAAAGACAGATTGCAGACCAATATATTACATAATTGCATCAAAAGGTTTCTTTAAGCAAAGTGGCATCAGATTTGAATTTCAGAAGGATACGCCAAAGCTTATTGACTTTTAGAAGATTAAATCAATGTATTAATTTGCATCACTAAAGCTTGAGTCAAATTAATCTGCATGTCATTGGCATCCTGCCTTTGAGTCCTAGCCAGCGGTTTTATACAAAAGCCTGGTTTTCATATTTGAGGTCACCAAAGCTACTTGATAGGTGTTTTGGGACGTGTTTAACCCGTCTGTCTCAGCGTCATGGCATCCTGCTCTTTGTGTCAGATTTCATTTAATCACTGTTATTGATTGCTCCTAATCACTGCTTTTGGTTTCATCTCATTTGGTGACCACCTCTGCAGTAATAATGATACGCCCAGCGCCATCTGTTCAGAGCGTTAGGCAGATCTCGTTATCAGCCATGTGGCACCAATTCCCTGCAGACATGCCCATACAACGCTCTGCTCATCCAGTATGGAGATGATCCTGTCCACCACTTCAGTACTGGTTCTTACAGGGTTAAAATGCGTGCTGGTGTATGTGTTTGCTGGGGATGGATGTAGGGGAGAGGGATAAGTGCTGATGTCTTGACACCATTGTCAAAAATGTTAATGGTGGTGATATTTTTTTCAGTAAATTTGACCGATTTAGTTCCTGTCTGCTCATATTTGCAGGTTAGATTAGGATGCTTCCTTATCAATGTCTGAATGAATTTTATGACAACATGCAAACTCAAGGGTAACTCTCAAACAACCGTCCACAAACACAACAGAGCAGTCATCAAACTAACCGTGATGATGAGCGTCTGAATTGTCACTGAGGGCGGGTGCCCCAGCAGAGGACACTGAACTGATAATGGGTCCTCTGTACTCTCCCTGATGGCTCACAGTTTTACAACCTTTTACTGTCTGGTGGTAACTCAGTGCCAACAGATGTGTTTACACAACCTTTATTACCTGTTATTAACGAGCTGTCAGCATGTGTGTGTGTGTGGAAACAACTGAAGGTTTACCTCAAAAACATGTGCGGAGAGCTCCAGGTGATTAGAACTTAATATGGAAATGTGGAAATATGAGAAAATAAGAGAAAAAAACATGTGTGGGAGCTAAACTTGTCAGGCGGTGAACTTTGTATCGAAGCATCTTAATTAAAATTTGGATATCATTTCATGTTCTTTCAAGTCAAGTGTTCCCAGACATGTTTGATTTTGCATTAGCTTGGCACAAAGACTGGATGTTCTAACTAGGTACAGCTCAAGCCAAGAGTTAACATCACCTTAATATACCCGTCCTAAAACTGGCTCCAAATAAGTAGCCTGTTAGAAAGACAGCTTGGACATTTACACACTGTTTTTGTTTTGAAGTTCTCTGCTCCAACAGCCTTGCAACACACTGTTTTGCTCTTTTTTTTCCATTGCAAACCCAGGGTGTCGCAATGGACTTTATCTCTGAAAATCATGTTCTTAATGTGAGTATGGCTGATTGTGTCACATGTAAAGATTATAGATAGCAGGAACAACCAACCCTGAAAAAGGAAATACCCAGTTATCAGTGTGCACAATTCCTCTTATTTTTCACGAACAGAAGAAGACTGAAACAAAATCTTTGTTTTGACTTCCTCTAAGACAACGTTATTAGTCTGTTTTCTATTTCCAAGGAAATGTCAGAGCTGAGAGAAACTTGAGTTGCTTCGTGTTACTCGAGCTAGTACACACTAGAAGCTGATTCAAGGTTTTCTGATAACCTAGAAAGTAAAAAGTGTGTGTAAAGCAAAAACAGGTAGATAAGGTATTTGTAGAGTAAAACTCAGGAAATGGCGAAATAAACTGTGCCACACAAATACATGTGAAGATATGATAAAAGTGCTGTTGAGGGAAGTGAAGTGTAACTGTGGTTTTACAAGGAAGGAACTACATGACATGCTACAACTACTGCGCATCACAGACTTCTTCAAACGAAACAAAACAAACGTTTCACTCTGACTGAGCTTTTATAAAGCAACATGTTTACACGCTCAAGGCTGAAATGTTGTGATAGTGCCATACTGCTGTGTCTAAGGTTGTCTGTTGAATCAATTCATGGTTTACAGTTGTTTCTATTTTCAGACTGATCAGAAGTCTCAGAAGTGTAAAGTCGTAGGGCAGTAAAAATCTGCAAGGCCATTGAGCCGTTTGTAAATCAGCATATTTACTCATTTCACTGTGTCCCCACACATAGACAATACCTGGTTGGCTGCTCAGGTATTATTTTGTCCCTTTTTTAATCCACCTAAGATTACAAACCATTTAGATGAAGATGATCTCCTATCTCTTGATAATCTGCTGTAGTAAGACGAGACACTCTGCTGTGTATAGTGAGAGGAAAACTCCAGGTACAGTGCATGTGTATGACAACAAAGTGTATTTAATCTAATCCCTGACATGATAATCATAATTATAGAAGACATATATAGTATTAATAGAGTATTGTATTCAGTCACTTTAGGCTAAGGGATCTGCACATCTATCTATTAACACATAGGATTGATATAAATGCAAAGACTGTGTTCACAGCTTTTGCAGCTTGTTTTTAAGATCCTGTCCTTTCTCCTAAGACTTATCAAAGGGTTTTGTGAGGGTCATGTGGGAATAAAGAAAAAAAATGTACACATTCAGGCACAGAGCTCCAAAAGTTTCTACCAATCATCAAAGCTTGTGTGAAAGAGGCGACTTTGTTATCAAGAAAGTGCTCATAAATCGGTGCCAATCTGTTGTGTGACAGCGTTTGATCTTCCCGACTCAACTTTGACAGAGGAGACAGATGGCTGTAGTGTAAATATGGAACATTCTGGTATTTTTCTGCACATGTTTGAAGGGAAAATGATAAGGGATGGTATGTAAAAGACTCTGAGTGTCTGTTTATTTTCTGCCCGTCCACAGTTTGTTGCTGTTTCTGGTTGGCTGCAGCCAAAGCTTTAGAAAAGGCCACAGCTGCAGGCTGTAGTGCACCATACAGACCACTGCAATCATAGAGGAGCATGTTGGGCAAGCAAACAGCTACAGTGGACACTCAGGGGAGTGTGTGTGTGTGTGTGTGTGTGTGTGTGTGTGTGTGTGTGTGTGTGTGTGTGTGTGTGTGTGTGTGTGTGTGTTTAGTTATGGACAGCTGCCAGTGGAAGGACAGAACAGTAAGGGGGGGTTGGTTGTATATCAGTGTTTGCTCTGGATCGGCGCCAAAAGGGTCCTCTGTTTTTTTACAGCCTTCGATTAAAAAAATGATAGAGACTGACTGAAGAAGAGGAGAAAAAAAGGAGGAATAGAATAGAGGAAAAGAAGGCAGACAGGTAGGAGAAACAAAGAGGTGAGGAGAAATGTTTGGGGGAAAAGAGGAGCGATGTAAGAAAAGGTCAAGGAGATTGTCAGTACAGTTTGACTGACTGTCAGTGTGTTTATAAGAGGGTTAGAGCAGCAGTATGATAAAGAGAGAATAAAGGAGTGAATAGAGGTGAAGAAACTGACAGGAAAATGGAAACAGGAAAAGGAAAAGAAAGGGCAAAAGGAACAATGAGGGGAAGGAAAAGGAGAAGGAGGAAAGAAGAGGAACATGGCTAAAGGTGCTCTCTAAATCTTCGTACTGATGTGAACAGATGACAGTGATTTAAGAGTAAAGAGGTTCAACAAAAGTGTGAGAGAGCTGACACAGTGACTTTTTATCATAAGAGAAAGGTTAGGTCACTTTTTTCTCCTTAAACTTTGGCGGTTTACTCTTTTTGTAACTTATCAGCTAGAGAAACAAGGTGATCAAAGAATTAGAAATAACTATCATTCTGGATATATTTATGTTTCCACTTTCATCACTAATGTGATTAGAAAGCTACTTAATCAAGGCAATTCAGTCTCCATAGAAAACTTAAAGATCCTGTGAGGAGTTTTTTTGACATTTATGAAAATCACTAAAACTCATATTGATGCCTTTCATGATATACTAGAGCAATCAAGATTATCAGAGACAAGACTGATTTTGTTTTGTAAATTTAAAGCCTAAAGCCATAATCACGAAGGGGGTGTGTATCAGCTGAGCAGCTGAACAAACAGCCCTGTTTTTTTATCATTTTCATAAGAAATATTTGCAGCAAATAATACATTCCTCTGTTGAAATCAATCAGGATCTAATTTTTTCCCCAAACAACTCTACCAAGGTATGAAGCTAGATAAGCTAAGACTGCTTCATCACAGGTGGTGCCAAAACTGACACAAAATGAAAGTTCCTTACAGTAGCTTCAAGTCAAATGCCCCAAATCAAAGCAGAACAGCAGTTTGGGTGTTTACATGACATTGCTCAAATCATGACACTCGGACAGAATTTTTTTTAAACTTAAATTTTAATTATTATTTGGCTTAAAGACAAAATTTGGGGGTCTACTTTGTCCAAGAACTCTGTTTTCCTGTTTTATTGTCAGGTTTATCATGCTGCAAAGGAGACTAACATATTTCACTGCTGCCTGTTGACATTGTGGTAAAAACTTTTATTTTTGTTAGCAAACTTAAGACGAATGATCCCCATTTAAAAAGCATTAAAAATGTGGATTTATATAAAAATGTTGTAAAAACAATACATATAAATTGTACAAAAAAATCTGGAAAATGTTAAAACTGTCAGTGCCAATCTTGAAATGAGCAAGTCTGCAAAACTATGTGTGGTTAATTCAGCAACAAACCTGGACTTATGTCCTTAGTTTACCTTTTTCTTCAGCTCTACCCAGTTTGTGTGTGTAAATCTAGTATATACCAATAAGAAATAACATGTAATTAGTAAAATTATAACTTCCAGATGCTGCGTTCAAATTTGAATACAATTTACGCAGTATCCTGGGGTGCGTGGTAAATATATCACTTCGCTAGTGCTATGACCGCTCACACTTTTACGTGTTAAGTTAAATTAAGCCATTCACACACACATAACAGAGGTCATCATCTAAAATGCTCAGCTGCCCATCTGGATTATCCCGTTTATTTAGCACTACCATTGAGCCATAGTTGCCCCAATATGCAAAAAACACGCACAGGCTCATGTGCTGTAGGTAACAAACACGCTAACCAGACAGAGTGCGTCAGAAGGGAGCATACTCGCGTCATGTTCGCTCATCAAACTGTGCAGTGGTTACAATCATAAAGATTTACACTGACAGAGCCCTCTCTCTCACTGAACACACAAATACACACATGTAGCAGCAGTCCCATCGTTACCACTCATCACTTTGATCACAGGAACCACAAATCCAGCCGGCGCAGTGTTTATAGTGTGTAGTTGTCGCCTCTATGCAGCTTTAGAGCCCAGAAGGTAGGCGTGGCACCAGGGGACACAACTCCTAACTTCATAAAGAGCAGCCAAACCCAATTAGTACTGTTTTTACACTCCGTCCCTGTTACCCAGAAGGCCCCTGTTTCTTTAAACGTAGGCTTTTCTAGCTGTCTCTGTTGAATAAGGAGGAGTGAGAGGCAGCGAACCAGCCATGTAAGCTAATTGAGAGCCACATCTGACACAGACCCTGCACTGGAGTCAGATCTCAGACCAGATGTGACTTTGTGGGCAGATGAAAAAGTTTGAGAGACATTTTTTTTTTTCCATCCGCAAAAATAAGGAGCGAATGGAGGTTTGTTCAACACCAGAAGGTTTGTTAGAAGATAAGATTAAAGATTTTAAGAATAATGGTCTAATAACACTGACCTCAGCGTGTTGAAAGTCAAAATCAAAGTGAAAAGCAGACAGGCGGGAGGAAGATAAGATCCCCCTCTGATCATAAGCTTTCATGATTACACTACTCAGAGGCCATTATGGCCATCTGATAAAAAAGAGCAACACAAAAAGGCTGATTTGTGTTTTCATAACAAAAGATAAACACACAACATCTCAGTCCCAGTGGCTTTGTTTGCTTACTTTGCCGGCCTCCCCTCCCGTTTGTGTTGCAAGTGTCTCTCAAGGCCAACAGTGTCTTTGCTCACAGCTTTCAAAATCTTCAAGCTCTCCGGCTTTGTTTTAATCAAAAGGGTGAAAATCCTCTTGGACTCAGTAGAAGCAGGGACTGGGTCTTTCGCTGAGACGGTCAACAAGCCACTCAGTGACCAAAGAGCCAAACACTTGACAGAGAAAACACGTAATCCATTATGACTTCTCCAAAGGGAGTGCACATGGTGTTCTCTGATGGTTTTAGATCAGCTGCTTCATTATATGCCTGATTTTTACATATGTAAAACTAGAAACACTTCAAAGTCACAGTTTGAAGCTTACTAACTCGTCAAAATGAATGGAGCAAAATAGTGACTAAGGCTGTAAAGGGGTGTAAAGACCCCGTTTCTTATGCGCTGTCCTTCTGTTTTCTTTGTTCTGATCGCTCCCACGTTAGACCTGTTTTTGTAAATCTACGTATACTTGTGGGATGGTGGTTTCCTCCCTTGCTCTCCTTCAATTACTCCACCTGTATGCAATCAGCTCATCACCTCTCCTTTTCTGCTCACCTGCCTCTCACTTGCAGTCTTCATCCATTCTTTGCTGATCCCTCTATTGTTGCTATAAGACTGGTGGCAGCTACAGTTTATTCCTGGATCCCTTATATATCCACGTGTTTCATGTTCTAACCTGCCCCCCTTTATTTGCTCCAGGATCAACACCAGTCTGCCTGCCTCCAGCCTGCCCAACTGTCCACCTGCCTGCCAGACACTTAACACAGTTTCCATTATTCTTCTCCACACACGTCAGTCCATCTTTCCCACGTCCTTCTTTCCCACGTCCTTCTTCCTCACCATCAGCCAGCTAAAACTTAACTTGGTCTGTGTCTTACATTTGGATCTTAGCTGGTTCTTTAACAGTATTTTACTGTAATATTGACTTCACTGTCAATGACAAGTTTGAGTTGAAATACAAGAACTTAAGTACTTGCTTTAGGAACAAGCTCGGAACAAGAGCAAGTGTCATTATCATGTGGCGTTTCTTTAAATTTGGATAGTATAACTGTCAGTTTTACACAATACAAGAAAAGTATCAAGTGCTAACTCAAAGCTCGAAGAAGAAAGGTAGCTAGCTAGCTGGCTAGCTGTAGCAGCCCTCTGAAAGATTATCATACACTTTACAAAACTTTTGAATCTTAAAACAATGTTCACCTCTCTGGGGCTGCTAATACATTGAATGCTACTATTTTCCAACCATTCTTTTACAGGGTGACCATATGCTGACTTCCCAAAAAGAGAACACGACTACGTGGAGGCGGAGTCACTGAGTCGCACAAAGTTTTCAGGTCGGATCAAGTGTCTTTTACATGCTTCTAACTCAGTAAGTCCACGTGACACAAAATCGAAACTGTGGACATTTATAGGATCTTATAAACTTCCCCAGACAAACCCGGACAGCCCCCAAAAAGAGGACATGTCCAGGTAAAAGAGGACATTTGGTCACCCTATCTTTTATCTATTTTTATTTAGCTCTGTAAAGTACAATCAACAGGAAGTAGTGTATAAATTATTTCAAAATAAAAGAGCATTCTACTGTATAACCACAAGATAGTATAAATGTCAAAATAAAAGCATCATAACTTCTACTTTGGAGGTTATACAAACCAGTTATCAAATATGTTATTGTACCTTGATATATAGCCAAATTTAAGTGTAGATTTTTACCATCCAATGTCTTCACTGCTTCTGATCCAAGTTGTGGCAAATGATAAATATTCATCGGATCTATTTTTTTGTTTGTTTGTTTGTTTGTTTTTGTTGTAAGTTGTAAGAACTTTTCAGCTTTACCTCTAGAGCACAATATCAGAGAAAATTGGACGCCAGTGGGATATTTGGATGGATGGATGTTGTAGATGGACTGATCCTTTATGATAAGACACCAGTGTAGTTGATCAGTCACAGTCAGAGTAAATAAGAGATGAACATTATTGAAGTCAACATGTCCACATAAAAAAAAGATGAAATTACCAAAAAATTGTCCTCACATCTTGACTTTCTGCTTCTCACATCGGTCACATGGGGGCATACTTGAACCGACAGACTGCTCTTTCTCCAAGGCTTTGGCCTGTTGTGACACACTCAGACACACACGTGCACACACACTTACACACAGACACACACGGCCTCACTCACAGAGGGCTCCGACATTCACTCTCACACAGGGAGACACCCCCACTCTTTTCAAAGTACACAATCCCCATTCACCCCGCAAAATCCACACACACCACGTCCTGTCTGCTTGGGTACACTTCATCAACACACACACGCTCCTGCACACGCACGCTCAGGCACACTAACACACACACACTTCACAGAGGGCCCCTCGCCTTATTGCCTCTCCATTTGGCTGGTGCCATTTGTTCCACACATTTTGTCGGAGGCTGACAGGAAAGCTGCTCAGAGCTGGTGGTGCTGTGAGGCCACATGATGGAGGTGCTTGTCCTGACTCGTACAAGACTTATGTCATGACCCGAGACTTCACTGGGCATTGCAAGTGATGCTTACCAAACACTGGACACCCTAATAAATCTATTACTACAACAGTGTGGCTGTAAAGATTTATGTTCCTTGAAATGTAAAAGTCACCAACAGGAAAAGTTGGATTTAAATTTGACAAAGTCAGAGGGATCTTATCAATCTTTCCATGCAGTTATTTTGCATCACAAGTAATATAAACTGTAAATAAAATATCTTAAATTGGGCAAAGAAACAGACACCTTTGCACCTACTAAAGTAATTTTGTTGGGCATTTATTTCGGGAAGTGGGAAGGGAAAGTGTGGAATAACACACAGAATACAGCCTCAGTAATTACAGTGTAACTGTTGCCCCACTTTTTCTGTTTTTAGCTCTACCTACTGATCTCAACCCCTTCCTTTTTCCTGTCTGAGG